GAGGGTGGGGGGGGGGGTGGCAGGTGGGAGGAGGGGGTGATGGGGTTAGGGGCTCGGGCGGGCGGTCTGGAGGAAGTAAATGGCACCGGTCACCCCCACAACAGCAGCAGCTACGGTAGCAGTGTCACCGACAGCAACTGCAGCAGCAGCAGATGGGTTTATTTACCAGCAGGCCCTGCTGTCAGAGATCCCCTGCCCCTCCGCACCCATGTCACACCGTGCCCCCCCGCACCTGCTTCTGCACCAGTTCGCTGATCAGGTCGTCACCCGGGTTCTGCTCCTTGGAAGACACCTGGTGGGTGGGTGGGTGCACGTCCGGGTAAGAGGGATAAGCATAAGGAGGCCGACGAACTGTACGACGGGGCTTCACCATAGGTAGCTACGGTAATTGAACCCGACCCGGGGAAGAGGCATGTGCGGGTGTGAAGTGGTGTAGAAGTGGGGTGGTACCTTGCGGGTGACGAGGCTTGAAGGTTGGGCAGGCGTGGCGGTTGGAGAACCCGAACCCTGCTGCCCAGCTTCCATCTGCTACACCATGCATGGAGATCCAACCCCATCCGTACAGGCCCTCCTCCCTCCCAGCTGCTCCATCCTTGCCCTCGTGTATGGGGCATGTTGGTTTCTCCCATCTCAGAAACGTGTTGGTGGTTCTCCCATCCCAACCCCCGTCCCGTCCTGCCACCTGCTATTCCAAATGCTTTGCCAAGCGCACCCTCTCCGCCGCCTCCCTCGCCCCTTCCAAGCCCACCTTCGCTACCGCCTCCCTCGCCCCTTCCAAGCCCACCCTCTCCGCCGCCTCCCTCGCCTCTTCCATACCCGCCGTCGCTGCCGCCTCCCTCGCCCCTTCCAAGCCCGCCGTCCTACGGTTCGGTATGGTCTTTGCCCCCCCGCCGCCTCACCAGCCGCTCCATGTAGCCCACCAAGTCCTCCGCAGCCGCCGCCGCATCCTTGGCGGTGGAGGAGCCGGAGCTGCGGACCGCCACGTTGCTGCTGAGGGCGGGGTGGTCGGCGGGCGGGATGCCCAGCAGGCTGTAGATGACCTGTTTGCGGAGGGGAGGGGAGAATGGAGTGAGGTTGGGAAGGTGAGATTGGGAGGCCTAAGAGGGATTGACGTAGGCTTGTCATCAGGCAGGCAGGCAGGCACTCATGTTCTACTTTATGTACCAAACCACTGCTGCTGTAACGACCAGTTATGCAGGCCGCCATCAAACACACAAAGAGGTAAGTAAGGCCTCCCCCACCATCCATCAGCCATCCCACCCACCCAGCTGCCTCCCACCCAGTACCATGCCACCCTGCCCCCTGCCGCCTCCCTCCCTGCCCCCTGCCCCCTGCCCCCTACGTACCTTGAACGACAGCGGCATGCTGAAGGCCTCCTGCAGGTCCGCCGGCGCCCCCGCCCGCCTCATATCCTCCACTAGCCCTTCCGCCACGGCGCGGATGGAGGGACGCAGCTGCTCGCAGCGCTGGGGACTGAACCAGTGCTCGACCATACCCCTGTTGGCGGACACATGCATGGGTCATCATTCGCGATCGAGCGGGGTGCCGCAGCGGAGTGGCCCCTTGCTTATAGCATGTAACGCAGCAACAACCCAGGCATCGCACGGCAAGAGAGACACAAGGGCTAATAAATCCCGCAGAACCAAAAATAGCTGTTCAGCTGTCGAGCGACCCACGGGTCACCCCTGCAACATTATCAACCAACATCATCAACCATGCAAACAAGCTGCCCAAACAGCCCACTGCCTACCTGTATTTGGTGTGCTCGGGCGGGTCCATGTCGACAAAGGTGGCTGCCTTGCCGGAAGCGGCCGCCGCCTTGCCGCCGGGACTCAGCTCGGGGAAGTTGGGGTGCGTGCGGACCTGCATGCATGCATGGGGGTTGCATGCATGGGGTTGGGGACCGCGTTAAGCATTGCGTTCGTTTTATTTACCAGCAGTCACGTCACCAACACACACGATATACCGGTACGTCTGCATGTGGGGGTGGTCATTCACGTGCGCTCTTACCTGTCGCCCTGCTGGTGCAACCGCTGCTGGATCATTTGGCGGACAAGCGTGTCGGCAGGAAGCCGACACGCTTATCCAGCAGGGCAACGGGCAATAGCGCACGTGATTGTGTGATCGTGCATGTGAATGACCACCCCCGCATGCAGACACAGCGCCATGCGCCTGTTGTCGCCGCGCCCCTCTACCGGTGGTCTCCTGCGCCTTCCTAAACCCCTCCCTTCCTGCACCTTCCTAAATCCCTCCCTCCCCTCACCTTGCTTAACCTCTCGTCCACCAGCACCTGCCGCAGGTCCTTGTGCTTGCTGATCAGCCAGATGGGGCTGCCGTCAAACAGCCGGCCGCGACCCACGGGACACTGCTTGCGCAGGCGGGCGTACTCGGCGGGCGGCTCCACACCGGAGGGGCGGGAGAAGGGGAAGTCTGTGCGTGGGGTGCGGTGTGCGGTTGGGAGGGGAAGGAGTAAGAGGAGAATGTGTGGAAGCGGAAAGGGCGAGGAGAGCAGGACGATAAGGAACTGAGGTGTAGCGCAGGTTAAGAATGGGCATGTGTCATAATGACACTTCGTTAGCGGCAGGCCCGTCAATGCTAGTGCCGGCGGTAGTCAACCAACCGCCGCCGAGTTGTAGTCACTGCACACTTTGACCTCGCACCACGAGTAAAGCAGTGTCAATTTGCATATGCACGGCGCAAAGTAAAGGAAGCAGATGGCTCACAGTGCGTGAGGAGGTCGCTGCTCGCACTTACTGGGCAGGTTCTCATTCGAAGACCCCTGCGTCGCCGCACAACGGAAACTTCCCCGGGAGTGAAGAACGGTTGCAGAAGGTCGAGAAAGCGCTAGCATTCCTATGGAGGCTCTGCGGGTGTTGTGTAAGTGCGAAACAAAAACGAAAGCGGTATAGTTGTTGTTGTTGTCGTTCGTTGTTAACCTGGCTGCCGTCTGTAGCGTCCTGCTTCCTTGTCGTTTGCGGCTCGTCATGAATGTATGTGAATCCGTATTGTCATTGCAACATACGCTCTTGCGCCTTTTGGCGGAAAGTGAGCAATGCGGCGGCTTGAAGCTGATGACGCGGTATGAGCGTCCCAACGTTTGAAAGGATCACGCATTATTGCTAGCAAGGTTAGCAAACGCCGTGGCCGCTGTCGGGACGTCGACAAGGCTCGTCAAGCCGCCGGAACCTCACCTGTTCATGACCAATGCAGTAAGCTGGTGTACCCGACTGCACAAAAACAACTTTGCTTGGTGTTGAGAGCGACAGGCCGACGATGCTAAAAGAAGCAAATGAGGATATAAATGGCAAGGACGGGGGCTATATCTGTACCCTTCAGCGTAATCATCGACAAAGCGCCCCTTCCGGCATGGCACGTGGCTTGAGCGACCTCTGGTAGGTCGGTCGACTTGGATCCGACGTAGCGACGCTTCCTCTTCCGCTGTTGTAGATCCCGCATAATAAAGGCGATCGTATACAGGAGTCATTTTTAAGAAACATTTCCCCAATGAGACATTTTTAGTGTACTGACATTCAACGTTTCGCCTTTGCATTCGGAACCTCCTTCATAGCATCGACAGGCATTGCAAGAGCAGCAGACGCACAGTGGAACGACGTCTAATGCTTAGAATATCCGGAAAATGGCGAGACGCGCCACGCAGTACAGCTTACTATACGATTGTCCAGGTCGTATCCTCATTAGGAACAAACAGAGCTCCCATGTAGACACAATTGGCTCAAGCGACCCATGGGTCAGCGAATCGTTCCAATTGTGTACCTGGTGCAATCTTGCATTCCAGTCCCTCTACTACTATGGTTAGCTTCATCTGCAGGCGGTAACCATTACTCCGTTATAGGGGTCTTTATGTCGGCATGAAGCACATGAGGGCACGCACGGCACGGTATTGCCCGCGTACAGCAGGCATGTAATGAGCAATCTCCCGTACACCCTCAATCAATGTGCGTGTCTCTCCTCAAGGGGTACATACGTTCAGGGACGCACGGACAAGCGGGTAATTTCATAAAGATTATGAACTCTGTCAACTGTAATTTAGACTTCAAGGCTAGCCGGGGTTCTTCATCTATGTGGGTTCACTCACTAGGCATGTGCGCTGCCTGCACGCTGCCAGCGAAAGTAGTTCACCCTGTCTAGCGAAGGCACAACTGTACTGCGAACATGAGGCCTGCCTGTCCACCCGCATTTCCAACGGCAAACGACGCATGTAAAAATATACGAGCAGGGCAGCGCTCATGCGGAGGCAGGAGAGTCCGTGCCCACAGGTTCCTATGGGCCTGTGTTACCGCATGTTGTCGAGTTTGGTTTGAGGCTGGCACCCACCCGTGCAAGCCTGATACACACCACCGCAACCCGGACACTCCTTAGACGATGCCTAGGCCCTCTGTGCATGCGCAAGGAGGGCAACATACCTGCCGGCATGTGGAGTTGAACCTGAGACCTGGAAAAGCCAAAAAAATTTGGAACCATTTCTCGATTTGTGCGTGTCATCCTTGCGCAGGGGCCATGCTAATCTTCTCTGTATTTTTCCAATTTTAACAGTTGTGCCGAAGCACGTCAGGAAGGGCTCACAAATATTATATATTACGATTGTGCGCCAAATTAAATGTTGTCACGTTACTTTTCCAACCAACGCACATAAGGTGTATGGCAGGCCTCTAAGCCGCACAGAAATGGTCAGTTGTACTGTATATTGGGCGTACGTATTGAACGGAGCCCCGCCGTGACGCGGCCTAGGCTGTCCCCATCGTGCCCCTGTCCTGCCTTTGCCCCAATCTCATTCCTGCCCCTATCCCACTTCCGTTCCAAAGTGGTCATTTCTCACTCACGTGGCTGTCCCTCAATGCATGGCGACGGGACGCGCACATGTCCGCAATCATTTGAGTATACCAATTGTACCATGCTTGGCCATTGGCTGAAGCGACATGCCTCATCTCGTTGGCAGCACCTTGGTTGAGGTAGGGTTGCCAGGTAGGTATGGTCATTGGCTGGTATCCCTTGTTACATAGGATTAATTACGGCATCAGCCATGTCGCACCCACATCACCACCCACTTCAGCACCGGAGATTCAAATGAAATACACATTAGTCAGCCTTGCTCCCAAGCCCCGGGCACCCAAGCATTATTAGCAGGCACAAATAGAACTGACACGGCATCTTTGGATAGGGCGCCCTGCAACGCTTGCATTGGTAGTGAGGCACACAGCCCCAAGCTTGGTGGATTATGCTCAGGCAAGCAATGTAACAGCGGGTAACAAAACACGCACGCCAAAAAGAGTCATTCCTCTACACCAGCCCACCCGCAAAGGCCCTTGGGCCTGTCAGGGGTATCTAGAAGGTCCGACCCCAGATATTTACTCCAGTACTGCATAACATTCATAAGCCCCACTTGACCCGCTTATCACAACACATCATTCTACATTTCCCTTTCAGCAAGCCTGTCTCCCGTGAGTTCACAATCTTTTCCTCATCTCGCCCTTCCTTCTACATTCAGCCACCACAGTTCAAGACATCCTGTGTAGTGGACCCCATCAGTCAGTCCTCAGCGCAGCCCATTCCATCACTAAAAATGGAACAGGAAGGGGCACAATCCGTACACGCCAACAGCTGTTCAGGCTCGGTTATCTCCACTGCACATGCACTGACAAAGGCACAACGCGCGTGCCGGCCACATCTCCTTAATGTGACGTTCTTCCATCAGCCCTCAGATGAGCCGACACAGCAGCACAGACACACCAAAACAGGCACGCCAGAAACAGCACATGCTTCATGCAGGCCCCGGTAGCTCCTATAAGGCCTTCCCTATTCCGAGCGCCCATTCGCGGGCGACACAAAAGATGCAAAACACCTCTCACTCACGTACATACGCTGCACCCGTGTTGTGCGCTTGCACGAGGCACAATGCGCATGCAGGAAGACAAGAGACATGCACACATGCGCGCTTTCCGTGTGTCTGGCATGATGGGCTGCGGGCTGACATGCAGACCTCCTATGGCTGAGCACGGCTCAGTGCACCTGGCTTTCTTGGGAAGATATGTGTTAAGAAAACTAGAAGATATGTGTGTGTCTTGGCGGCAGACCCAGCAGCCAAATCCCCCGTCCTTATCCCAGTCACCGCCGTCCAGCCCTTAGCGCTTTGAGGGAGTGGCCTCAGCAGCAGCGCCGCCAGCGCTGATATTGTTGCTGTCTTGGTGCTGCTGCGGGGCGGGTGATGACGGCCCTGCCGAAGTAGCACCCCCGGTGGAGGTTGCGGCGGAGGTTGCAGTGGTGGTGGTGGCGGCCTTGGGTTGGGACGGACTCTCAGCGCCGGCGGACAGGAGGCCCGGAACAGCCTGCAAGGAACACATGCACAGAGCTCTGAGAAAGGTGGACGTGTGCTACAAGTAACGAGATCAAGTGAATGGCACGCGCGTTCTGGCTTTGATGTGATTACCGTATTAGGAATTCTCACAAGAACGGGTCCGCACCCCTGTCCCTAATGCAAGCACACGCATTCGCTCCCAGACACACACCTGCTGCTGCGCCGGTGACGTCGCCGCATCTCCATTGCCATTGCCAACCGTCACAACGCTGCCCGTGGCGCCGCCAACAATGCCCGCCGCTGCATGCTGCGAGGGGCTGTTGGCCCCATGCACGCTGCCCGCGCCACCACCATTAGCCAAGCCGTTGGTGCTGGCGGTAGGCGTCAAGCCGGCGGGCGTTTGGCTGCCGCCCAAGCTGCCGCTCACCACAACAGCGGCGCTGCTGACGTTGTTGCTGCTGCGCGGCGCTTGCTGCGGCTGCTGCTGTTGCTGAGGCCGTTGCGGGGTTTGCAGCGGCGTGGGCAGCGGCGACTGTTGTTGCTGCTGCTGCTGCTGCGATGAGGGTGCAACAGGCGTGCCAGGCAGCTGCTGGGAGGACACAGGCGGTGGGTGCATTGAGGAGCCCGGTGTCAGCAGCCCCGGCTGCTGCTGCTGCTGTGGCGGCTGCGGCTGCTGCGGCAGCGGAGTTCCCCCTGCCGCCACTGCTGAGGGCGGTGCGGCAGCAGTCGGCTGCTGCGGCGTCTGCGGTGTAGCAGCAGCAGCAGCAGCAGCAGCAGCAGGAGCAGACTTTGGAGGCAGCGGTGCCACGGTGGGCGGCCGCAGCGGAATTTCATTGTCCACGTCGATCAGCTTGGCGTTGCGCGTGTCCAGGTTGTACAGACGCAGGGTGCCGAGCAGGGCCTCGGGCAGCTCCCAGGGGGTGGTGCCCTCCAGCACAAAGCCCATGTCGATTACCAGGGAGCGAGTGGCTCCTCGAACCAGGCCGGTCACGTAGGAGGCGACGTTGTTGGCGGAGATGTCAATGTCAATCTCAATGTACTGCAAGAGCGGGTGGGGTGAGACAGGCCGGTGCAGCCATGGCCAATGTCATGTCAGTAGCGAGATACGGTACGCTACAGACCGCAGGGGTAAGCAGCACCCGTAACAGGGTAACGCTACATGGATGATGAGACGCTAGGCAAGGGAAGATCCCCATCCTCCAACCTCCTCGGCAACCCCAACCCGCCTCTCCCCTACCTGCGGCGTCTCGTAGTAGATGGTTCGGAGCTGCTTGCCCAGAATGACGGGGGTAGTTCCCACGCTTTGCTTGATCATCCAGGAGCCATCCGCGATGTGCGGAATGAGCTTCAGCATATGGTTGCGGGTGTGGGTGGAGCCGTTCATGTACCTTGGTTGTGGCGGCGGAGGGGGAGGAGGGGGAGGAGGAGGTGGAGGGCGGAGGGTAGAAAGGGAGCGTTGGAATAGGAAAGCAGCTACGTTGTATACCGGTAACGTGTGAGGCCTGGGCGTCACCTGTAAGTTTGCAGAGTCCCGTCGATAAGCCCAGCAGCCCCTGAAACCGCTCTCCATGAAAAGGTCGCATCTTCTCCGAGTCCTGACGCGTCCCCTTCACCCCTTTCACCCGCCCGCCCTCCCGCCCGCCCTATCCACGCTCACTTGTGTAGCACAAAGTCAAAGGGCTCCCAGTCGTGGTCTTCCTCCATGGGTTGCGCCGGCGGCTGCCCCAGTTGCGAGGGGTGGCGGTCGGTGACAAAGGTGGCTACGATGCCCAGCAGAGGGGTGCCGGGGATTACCAGGTGCACGATCAGGGAGAAGGGCGCACCGCTCTGCCTGCAGTGGGGCAAAGGAGACGGAGGGGAGGAGGAGGAGAAAGGGCAAGTGAAGGGGCATGGTGGGGAGGAGGGGAGCGTGCGGGGTGTGCGGGGGTTTGTCGGTCAATAGGGCTGTATCACAGAGCAACAGAGTCGGAACGGTTCCTGACACGCAGCTGAAAGACACGAAGCGAGGCGACGAAAAGCGCAATGCGAAGGGCCGTGCACGGCGGTGGGGAAAGCAGAAGAAGGAAGCACGGCACCGTACGAGCACACCCAGGAACTTGCATGCCAGGAGAACAGCAACAGCGGCGGCAACATGATAGGCGGTCCCTCACCCCACCTGATGGAGGGCAGGAAGCGAGCCACATGCTCGTGCAGCGCTCCGGGCGGCTGCTGGATGACGTCCATGGAGCCCAGCACGAAGCGCGTGTAGCCGGCGGGGATCTTCTTGCGGTCCTTGAGGTAGGTGGGGCCGCGGATCTGGGGGGGTTGGTGTGGAGGGAGAGAGCGGGGGAGCGGGGGAGGGTTTATCGGGGATGGGGTTTGGTGAGTTTGGGGAGTTTGGGGAGCCTAGGGGAATGCCAATCTACCATAGACAGCCCGGCGGCCGCTGTTGTGATGATCCCCTCGCAACGCTTCTGCCTCGTCACTGGTTGCTGCTAGCTCCCCCTGCTGTTCTCTGGACTGGTTTTCCCTCCCTCTTTGGTTTGGTTTTGCCCTGCAGCCGGCTCGTACCTTGAAGGGCGCGTCCTTGCCCGGCTGGTGCAGCTGGTCCCACACCTGCGGCTCCAGGAAGGCGAGACGCCGCATGCGGTCCAGGACCTGGGGGCGGCAGGGCCGGGCACACACAGGGGCGGATCAACCCGAATGCAAGCAGCATCGCGCACCAGCGCCTCCCCAACCGGTTACCGATATGGTATTGACAGGAATCTCCACCCTTGCCGTTTAAACTCACGTCATCCATGGTTTCGTATTGCTGCATGAAGGGGCTCGGCACCAGACCCGCAACAGCACCCTCCGCCAACACTCCATCCGCGGCAGCGGCGGCGGCAGAGGCCAGGCTGCCGTCAGCATTGCCCCCGTCGGCGCCGCCGCTGGCGGCGGCGGCGCCATTGGCATCCGCTGCAGCGGCGCCGTCGGCGCCGCCATCAACCAGGAGCGGGCGATCCGACGTCTGCGTTTTGATGCGGGAATGGGTGGCGACACACGCCAAGACGTCGATCAGTCACAAGACTCTTTGGTTAGGAAGGCTTGCCATGTCCTCTGCCGTACCGCGGGCAAGGCCGTTCCCTCACCGTTCCCCTTGCACTGTTTTGCTCCCGTTCCCATGACTCGCCACGTACCTCCGCGTCCCGCACCGCCGCTACCGCAGCGGAGCCCGCCGCCGCTGTCAGCGACGTACGGGTACTGCCGCCAGAGCGGCCCGTCGGCAACAGGCACTGAATGCCGCGTCGGCCGCCGGCGCCTCCGCCAGCGGCGCCGATCGCCGTGGCTGCCGCCGCCGCCGCCGCTGCCGCCATGCTGAAGCCACAGCTGCCGCCACCGCCGTCCATGGAACGAACCCGCCCCAGGGAACTGTCCAGTGCGGCCACGCTGTCACGCTCGCGCTCCTACATTCGTGAGAGGAGGAGCAAGGTTACGCATAACATGTTACGGGAAGCTGCTGCACCTGCGAAACACCCATCGGGAGTGCCCAGGCGGGCATGCATTGCCAAGCCTAACCAGCGTAGAACCCCTCATTTAGCCGACCATCCACATCGGAACATACGGTACCCCCCCCTCATCAATAGCAACCCATGGAGAAGCCTCGTCTTACAGTTCTTCCGTTTCTTTAACTTTACCCCCTGCCCACCATCACCTTGACGCGCGAGGAGGCCACCATGCTGAGCGGCTGCACCACGAAGCGCCCCTGCTCCACCTCATCCCGCAGCAGCGTCACCGCCATCAGCATTCGGTCCAGGAAGGCGTCCGTCCAACCCACCAGGTCCGCACCCAGACGCAACCAGCTGCGCTCGCCGCAAACACCACCCAGGTCAACCTGCGAAAACGTGGGGGGAGGGCCGGGGGGTGTGTTTGTAGTGTGTATAGTTGAGTAGAACAAGAGCAAGCAGTTAGGATAGGTTCGCATGGGGGTGTGTTTGTAGTATGGGTATTGTGTATAGGGTTATAGCCGAAATGGACGTGACACGGGCTGGGACGCATGGGGGAAGGTGGTACCAAGTCCCGGTGGGACAAGAGAGCGATCTGGGTTATGACACAATGGGCTGCGCATGGGGGTAGCGCATGGTAGTGCACGGCGTGCATGTGCGTGGACGCTATGGACGGCGCAGGTGTGTACGGCATGTCGTTTGTTTGCCGCACGCCTACCTTCATGATGCACGTGACCAGCGCCTCGGGGGAGTTGTCCAGCGAGTACTCCTCCAGGGGTGCCATGGTGTAGCCGCCTCGCACCCGCGCCATGACCGGCTGCCCCCACCAGCTGCGGCGTAGGCCCACCGTGGCGGTCTGAGGCAAAGAGAATGGGTTTCACACCGAGCGGGGCGGGGCGGGCGGGAGCAGACGGAAATGGGGGAAAAGAAGGAAATGGAGACACCTAGCGGAAGCCGGACAGAGGCCATCCATCATCGTCAGTGCCATCGTCATGCGATGAGGGGAGGGCATGGTGCTTGCTGGCGTGGCGGATGACGTTTCGAGCTCCTCCCCCCGGGCTCCAGGCACCGCACCTGACACTCCTCCATCTCCTCCTCCTCCAGCTGCTGCTGCAGGTCGCCAGCTCGCCGCTCCACGAAACGTGCCGGCGGCTCGCAGCTGTTAAACATGAGGACGAGTGTGGGGCCTGGGAGGGAGGGGGTGGGTGCAGGGATGGTGGGGATGAAGGAACCGGGGTCGAGGTGCTTTAGGAATGAGCGAGGAGGCGCATGGGTATGTATGCAGCACCTACCTCATCTGAAAACCTAAAGGGGTATCAATTGTCGGAACAAGGCGCAGTAACCCCCTCACCTGTTTCATCCATCTTGAACACCGTCTCCACCACCACCTCTCGAGGCGCGCACAGCACACCCGTAAGACCAGGCGCCTGAAGCACGATGCGCTGGATCTGCGGAGAGGAAGAAGAGACCCACGGGTCAGCACCACACAGAAAAAACACACAAGCCATCACTCCCCATGCAGCATCCGCATCTCGCAACCCCCTTCTCCCCCTCGTTCGTCCGCCTGCTCACCTCCTTTTCATCCACCGCGCGCCTCTTCTGCAGCACCTCCGACCTCAGTGCCGGTCCCAGGATGGTGGTGTTGCCGCAATTAGAGGTAAGCGCCCCCAGACAGCGACGAGGGCTGCCGCGAACCACGGTGCTCACCTACGTGGCAAAATGGTCACATGGTAATGGTGGAGTGGTCGTGACAGTGACCGGTAGTACCGGTGTACAATCGTACACAGCAGTGTACGACCAACGGAGGTCTTCGACCCAAAATGCTGCCTGCTCGGCTGCTTACCATGAACTCGCCACCCACGCCAGCCTCTGCGTCGCCGGCTGTCTGTGGCCGATGGTAAATGGCTACGCCGTTCACCTGGAAGGACACAGCAGGAGCAAGTATATATCGGTATGTATGCTAGAGGGAGTAAAAGATGTTGGCGCGTGTAGGCAACAGCAGCTACATGGCTGCACACATGGCAGCGGGACGTTCGTACCTGCTTGTACGGCACCCATCTCTGTTTCGTGTGCCGTACATCGCCCCGCGTATTCCCTCGTGGCGGCCTGCACGGTCCCGACCCGCCGCCCAGCCGTCCGCATGGGAGCTGACCCATGGGTCGCGACGTGTTTGCGAGCTGCACCCGACGTGAACCATGCTGCGAGCGATGATGTGCGCCATCCGCAAGCTCCTCCTCCTCGTCGCTGTCGCTGCTGCTAGGCGCAAAGGCGGGATCCAGTCGTACAGTCGGCGCCGAAGGCGCCGCCGTCGCCGCCGGCGGTGGCCTCGTCGACGCTAGCTGCACAGTCGCTGCCGGCGGCGCCGGCTGCGAGGGTGGCGGCGCCGGCGGACGCGACGGTGTCGACGCCGATGCCATCACCGGGGTCTTGGACGAGGTGCGGAGAGCAGCGGGGGCTGAGCGTTCTGGCTGTAGTGGCGATGCGGCGGCGGTGGTGGTGGTAGCTGCGTTTGCGTCGATGGCGGAGCTCAAGGGGTCATCGCTGGCAGCACCATACAACAAGGCTCGTTTTGCTGCGGATATTTTGGGGTAAACGGGGGTGATGACAGCCGGGGAGATGAGCGATGGGAGTTGGTCTTAAGGCTGACATTCCGCTGCACGCTACCTGAAGACCATATAGGACCATATGGGTTGCCTGGCCAGGGGTCATTTTCCTGCCTCAGTCCCCAAACTGCCACCGAAACGCCTGTCAATACTGTAACCCACTCGTGCACTTCAGCACCTCATCGTACCTGGTTCGGACAGTGCTGTGGCGCTGCGCTGGTGTCGGCCGCCCTCCATAGTGACAGCCCGTGCAAAGGGGCTGCCCGCCTGCCGTACATAGCAGAGCAGTGCAGAGGTAAGGGCGGTGTGAGAGGTGCGCATTCAACTGGCCTTTCGAGCAAGGATGTAGCAAATAGCAAGGATGACAGGGGCGGTAACAACGCATGGTGCTGCTCGGGGCTTTCTTGTTATGTCCAATTACTGTTAGGATGGTGGTAATATGGTGTCAATGCTACCAAGCAGTCATTGCCCCATGCGCCAGGCCCTCTTGCCGGCCTTACATCCGCCCCCTCCATCGACATCCTCTTGCCGCCCGCGCTGACACTCTTCGTCAGCCCCAACGCTCCTCCGCCACTCACGCCGCCCACACTGTTGCGTTGGACGCCTCCGGAGCTGGCGCCCGCCGCTGACCCCCGGGTTGCCGGGTGGTTGCTGCTGTTTGGAGCAGCGCTAGAGACAGGAACGGAACCCGCGGAGGCAGCAGCAGCCGCGGCCTTTTCCACACGAATGGCCTCCAAGCGGGCTGCTAGGCGCGCGTGCCAGTGGCGGGCCTCCTCGGGAGTTGGGAAGCCAAAGGTGAAGGAGGTATAGCCCTTGGCAGCCCAGCGGGTGGGCCAAGACAGCGTGAACATGTACTGCAGCAGGGAGATGCGGGTAGGATGGAGGGTGGTTGGGAAACTTGTTGCGATGTGGGTCGGGGCGCTTTGCAGAAAGCCATCAGACTGCTAGTGCGATTTGGGTCGGCGCTGCTGACTCTGGGCAAGAAGATCGGAGTCACGCTCAAAGGCAGCAGCATGTTAAATTTGGGTTTCCATTGGCAAGGCCGACACTCCATACACGGAACACGACTAGACAAACAATGCCTTTACATGTATGCGATTTGTGCTTTGCCAACCCGGGGCCTTGGGCATGACTTGTGTGCAGGTCAAAGTGCAGGTTGACCATCGGCATGGGCTGCCAGCAGCGGCAGAGGCACTTGCAGGCGAAGCAAAGGAGACAAATGCTCAAGGAGACACATACCAGGTGCAAGCCGTAGTGGGACGTGGGCGCTGCTCTGCTTCTTTGCAAGTTCTACCAACTACCACCACCATCCTCCCATCTATCCATGACCGTTGCGCACCCCACACGAAGATAGCTGTGCATGCGATGCACCACAGTACCAGTAAACGTAGTGCCCAGACTACTGTAAAGGCTCCTCACCAATTGGACTGGCTGGCATTTTGTGCCGATTGACTTGGGCTTGACAAGAGTCGTAATTGCCCACTGTCCACGCGGTCGCACATACTTTAAGCACGATTCCTTGATATCTGCTGCATTTCGAGGTTGAAGCTCGCACTGTGCAGTAAGGATCCACTGCTTGTTGTCGTCCTCGGTCTCCTCAATGTTGTGATAAGTGGTAAACCTAGAGTGGTAGAGCCGCACGCGTCGGACGATCACAAAGTCGCTATTCGATGTTGCTTTATACACATCTGTCTCCTCCAGCACAGGATCCGAGTCCTCAGGGCCGCAATACTCTGACGTAGCCATGGATACAAACCCCAAGCGCAAACGGCACTAAACTTTAGGCATCCTATTATTAAGGAGATGTCTAGCAGTTTGATTGGGCTGCTGGTTTCCTTGGAAAGGAGAGTCGTCTAGATACACTTGATACAACTGCAGCCCAAAATTGTTAGATAGTACTCCTGGGACAACCCACCGCTCACTAATAACAGCGAACTATGTTACTGCTGTGTTCCTCAGACAAGTTGGCCCATCACCGATGGCTCCGTTACCAGAACGACAGACGCACCGTACTTGAAGCCACTTGGGCGACCGTTTACTTCCGATATTGCCGCTACTAGCTTCGCTAACAACGCAAAAACAGCATTTGCAATCAAATTCGTGTATCCCCACGCGTGCCAACCTGCGGACTTTGGCACTGGGCATCGGCTTGCTTTCTGCTGTTTCGCTTGAGGAAGCGGCTTGGGCGCCAAGAAAGTGCACCAAGTGGTTTGGTCTTATCTTACTTGAAGTGATTTTCCGGGCGTATAGCTCATAGGTAGCAGGTTGCAGGCCGATGCGTTCTCAAGCGACGGGACGCAGCACAAGTCTGCAGTGCCGTCGCTCATCACGGGTAACGCCACCACTCCAGCGGGGCTGCTCCCGAATCCGGCCCCAGATCTTGGACCCAGCTCCGCTCACCTTTGGTGATAACGCCGTGGCATCACGACCGTCACGACACGCCGATCACGCTTCCCGCAGTCGCGTTGTCGCCATGTCCTTTTTAAGCGAAGCCTTCAAGGGTGCAAAAGTACGTCTTACACAACAGCATCGGCGATTCATGGAGTAAAAGCCAAACCTTCCTCAAATGTATCTAAGCCGTCCTACCCGTCCCGTTAAGCGTGCTGTTCCCACCCTCCCGCGCCTAGGCTGACATAGACAGCGCGGGCAACGCGTTCCTGCCTCGCTTGGCTCGCACCCTCCGTGTGGCTCGCATCCTGGGAGCCGAGCTCGCTGCCATTGTAGCGCTAGCACCGTACGGAGCGTACGCCATGTCCGTTTACAGGTGGGCTTCCTAACTTTAGGAGGGGCTGATGGTGGGAGCCACGTGGCTGCAACACTCTGCCGTACAGCAACCTGGCTCAATTTGAGGGCTCCTGCGCTCCCACCCTATGGTACGGAAATCAAGGATCTGCCTCCTGGCCCGCAGGCGCCTGCCGTCTTTGGCACCAATGCCGGCGCCACAAACCCCACCCGCGGACCCCGGCTCGCCTTCCCCTCCTCCAGCCCCGGCAAACCAGCCCAACCAAGCACCAGCAGCAGCAACAGAGACAGCCTCAGCCCCCCAGCAGCAGCAACAGCAGCAGCCGCTGCCGCCGCCGCAACAGCTGCAACCAGACTTCACTGCCGTACTCCGAAACCTGCCGCCAGGTCGCGACGGTGTTGCCGTACATCGTCAAGTGTCGTACGGCCCTGCTCCACGCAACACCCTTGACATCTACGTACCGCTACTGCCTCCGCCGCCGCCGCCACCGCTTCCACAACAGCCACCGCAGCAGCCATTGCAACAAGCAGCTCAGCAACCGCAGCAACTGCTACCGGTCGTATTCTTCGTACATGGCGGCGTATGGGCTAGCGGCGAGACGTGGCAGTATGCGCCCATGGCTACCCGTCTAGCGCAGGCGGGGATGGTGGTGGTGGTGCCCACATACACACTTTACCCGGAGGCTTTGGCGGGTGAGTGGCGGGGTGGGGTGGGGCGGGACATAGGGTGGGTGACCCATGGGTCCAAAGATGTGTGGGCCATCGGCGAGAAACTGGTGATACCGGTACCGGTACTACGTGGCTGGCTTTGGCTCGGGCGAAGCTGGAAGTACCGTACCTTCACCTTCTGTTCTTCCCCCTCTTCCTCCTCGTCCCTTCAAAGGCACCATGGTGGAGGAGGTAAGCGCCGCGCTGACCTGGACATTCGACAATGTACGGAGGTACGGCGGCGACCCAGATCGCATCACCGCCTCGGGGCACTCTGCGGGCGGGCACCTGGTGGCATGGGCGCTGCTGCGGCGTGCTGCGGAGACGGCCGCCGACCGATCCGGTATATCCGCCCGCACCGCTGCATCATCATCATCAGCAGCAGCAGCAGCAGCGGCGACGGCGGCCCAGTCGGGTTCCCTCGCCGCCTCGCACCCGCACCCCCACCCACACCACCAGCACCCGCACCACCAGCACCAGCACCAGGAGGAGCCACATCAGCCCCCGCAGGGCTCCGCGGCTCATGCAGGAGACCGGCTGGAGACGGCTGCCTACCTGCTGGGCGGGGCAGGGCCCTCCCTGCCTGGAGCTCTGCATGCGCTGAGGGCCGTGGCGGGTGCCCAGCTGCACCCCACACCGGGCGTGGATAGCTCCTATGAAGAGGAGGAAGTAGAAGGCAGGACGGCGGGAGGCCAGGGGCCGGAGCAGGACGGTGGTGGCGGGGATGATGGAAGCAGTGAGGGTGCGGCAGCAGCAGCGGCGGCAGCAGCGGCGCCGTCACATGCGGAGGTGGACACACGCATGCCACGAGTGTTTGTGGGAATGTCGGCCGTGTACGACATCGCGAAGCATTACGAGTTTGAAAAGAGCCGTGCCGTACATGAGCTGTCAATGATGAAACGCGCGGTGGGTGGACCCGCGGGTTTCGCCGCTGCCTCGCCTAGCGTTATCCTTGCGAGGGCAGCAGCAGGAGCGGAGGCGGCGGAGGCGGCGGGGCCGTTGCACGGCAGCAGGAGCGGTAACGGCAACAGGGTCGATCACCACCATGCTTCCCCCTCCTCGTACTACACCTCTTTTGAGCTACTGGGGGACGCCATCACTGCACGTGCGGGGCTAGCAGGAGCAGGCGGTTGGGGTGCCAGCAGTAACAATGGCGATAGTGGCAACGGCCGCGGCGGCGACGGGTGTCCCCAGGGCATGGGAGATTTCAGCTTGGCGGCAGCCCGAAGACTGCCTCCGTTTGTGGTGATGGGCAGTTGCGCAGACCATATGGTGCCCTGGCATGAGGGCGCAGAGCTTGTGGATCAGCTGAGGAGGTGGGTCAAAAGATGGGACGACCCATGGGTCACTGACTGTTTTATGGTGTGCTGTGTAAATGGAACCAGTTTCTTGCTGTCGCATATGAACTGCTCTGTAAACTAAGAAGTCGTGATACGCCATTGCAACCGTAAATTATTCGTGTTTGTGTCGTACTTTCCTCAGGTGTTCCGTACCTGTACGGCATCTGCTGTACAACCACATCGGTCACGGCGACTTTGTCATGCCGTGGCGACCCATGGACCTTCGAGAGCGGCAAGCGCAGCTGGACTCCGCTGCTTCTGGTAGCGTTACCGGTATCGAAAGAAGCCGAGACGTAGAGGCAAACACAACCAGCAGTAACGCCAACGGTAATAACGGTAACGACCCGGGCATGGAGGACCTCCTGCCATGTGCGAGAGACTTCCTGCTCATTGCCATGGGCCGAGTTCAACCCGTACAAGACACAAACAGGGGCCATGTGGGTCGAGGATTGTTGCCATCAGGGATGATAGCAGCAGGGGCAGGAGAGCAGCAGGGGGCAACCGGGGGGGTTGCAGGAGACGGGGATGGAGCGGGGTTGGGTCAGGCTGATGCGTCGTTGGCAGCTCGTTCAAGGCTGTGAACCGATGTTGCATGACGGGGGCTAAGAGGGGTCACAGAAGGGCTGGGACAGTTGTATGTGCCACTTGTGCCCGTGAATTCACAGGCAAATATTTTAAACATGCATGGAAGCCTAGGAGAGATGGGAGGGATGGAAGCCCGCCGGATGAAGAGCCCGGAAGAAATTGGGCTGTGCTAGGAATCGTTGGCACTTCCATTGTTGGTCGTATACCGTAAAAGGAGGTTGGATGCATAAGATGAACGTTGTGTTGTGGGTAGGATGAGAGTTTGGCATCCTACAGACATTACTAGAATTTATCCTCTTAGCGCGCCGTAGCGCTGCAACAAGTTCTAGACGCGGAGAGTGCGGACCCGTGCAAGTAATCGTTTTGCAGGCGGGTTGGGACTGTGACTGGCGTCGACGGCAGGTACGTCTGTTGGTAATATAGCGACGTTGTTAGTGCCTTGCAGCATGCAAGCGGCAAACTATCCTACATGGCGCGCACCGGGTACAGGTGGCCCCGGGTATAGTGAGACACCTTTGCACTTCCAAGGTTCGCAATTTTGATAGAAAGCATGAAACGAAGTCCAATTTGCGGCATTGGCTAGCCCTATGAGTCCTTCGTACGGCGTAGTGCGCGCGGCCAGCAAAGTTAAGTTTATCACACTGACACTCACAATCGGGGCAGGGTCACAATGCGCTGATTTCCCGAAAACCGGGGTAATCTGAGACACCTGATTTTAGCACATAAACAGCCATAAAAAGCGGTTAGAACTCATTGCCTTGCGGCACGTTAACGTCATATATCAACAGCACTCATGTGCACAGCTAGAAACTCGCCAGTGCTCACAAACTCTGCTTCGCAAGCTGAGATCCACAGCGCCATCATGGTGTGCACAACTCTTCTCCTACACTGACGCCGACTTGCATTTTTGCAACATAAATGGAGTACATGTGATAGGAAACCTGCTTCTGCAATGCACGCTTTCTCCCGGCTCTGGCGGTCCGGGTCGTGCATCAAGTTGCTGCTCGTTGCTGGCGAAAGAGTCACGCTATACACAAAACGCATCGATAAATCGTTGCTAAGGCTCTGTATGGCTTATAAGATGTTTAAGGGGCCACAAGAAGAGTCTATGCTTAGTGCCGAGGCCGAATTTGACATGGCAGCGAGTCCAAATCCGGTCGGCAAAGCCGGCATTGCTCCGGTACCGCGCGACACTTTTCTTCGAAACAAATTTGATAAGAAACATGTGTCTAACCATTACTTCTTATATATAAAAGGGCTAAGCATTCTGTGCACCCAGGGTGCCATAAACGCGAGTGTCTCACAATACCCACTGTCTCACAATACCCGGGGCCACCTGTAGGTTGTTCGTACTCTCGCGTGTCAGATCGCACCTTCAGCTGTATTATAAAACAGCAATGAAACAAGATTAAAATCTTTGCTTACAAAAATATTATTTACTAGGCCTGCATGTCTGCCTTGGGGCGCCTGGGTGGCTTCTCTACTGTGGATGTTGAAGAGCAGCAGAAAGGCATCGACAGGCGCCTCCAAGAATCAGTTCACATCCCACGGCTTCTTGATTGTGCGCTCGTAATAGTTTACGACACCGCAACATGCGAGGTCCCATGGAAGCTCCATGCCACGCTTCCGTGGAATAACAAAACCTGTTCAGAACTCTGGGTGGAACCCCGCTTTCTTGCTCCTGATTTGCCCCAGAAACCTAGCCTTTTTTTCCGATGTGGACTGTTACAGAAGAAGGACAGGAAGACCACCAAGAAGCCAGCGGAGAAAAAAGCCACTGGATACCTGCACTGCATTGCCTTGGTGCGTTGCTTTGGCCATCCCAAGCATCAAATAGTCCCATACCCCCACACACGCCCTGCGATAATTACCAACACATACCGTAAACCCCCTCTCAGCCTCCTCATTAAGCAGCCTCGCTCCTCCCAACTCGCACCTCGCCTCCTAATCTTCCCACCCACCAAAAACGCCCCTCCTCCACCTCACCCTCCACCATACCCATACCCGCCGCCACTCCGTCCGCCATGACCACCACCGGCCCCGCCGAGTGACCCATGGGTCGGCCCCAGCCCCATGCCGCCCCCAATGCCCGCCTGCGCCTTGCCGCCATGCACGAATGCGCTCCCCATGGCCGCCTGCTGCTCCGCCAATTCCCGCTGCGAGCGCTCCAGCATGGCTGTGAGCCCCGGAGCGCTTGGAGGAATGCCGTCGTACATCTTGAGCGCCTCCGTCGCCCCTGCCAGCTGAGCCTCCAGGCTCTCCACCTCCGCTGCCAGCGTGCCTAGCGCCTCGTGACCCAACTGTTCGAGTGGGTGGAGCGGATTCGGCGGGATGTGGGTTTCAGAGCTCAGGGTGGTCGTGCGTGGTGGCAGCGAGGTAACAATACTTTCACCTTGCCTTCCCGCCTTTCCGTCCCGCCTACCGGTACCATCTCCCTCCCCCTCACCTCCGGCCGGTACCCCAGCTGCACCAGCTTGCTGCGCATCGCCTCGATCCGCCGCACGTACTCCTCCGCCTTGGCTTCCAGCGTGCGCTGCTCCGCCTCCGTGCTCTCCAGGCCCCGCTCCGCAACCGCCTGAGAGCGGCGGGCGGCATCCAGCGCGGCCGCCACCTCGGCAGCCTGCCGGGCGGCGGTCTGGGCGGCGGAGCGGAGGTCATGTGCCACAGACTCGCGCTGGACCTTAAGGGGAGAAAGGAGGAAGGAGGAGGAAGGGAAGAGGTGTCAGAGGACGGGAAGGCGGTGGCAGGGCTGCGTGAGATGTACGGACCACTGGTTGGCGTTCGTGTTGTGTGGGTTTTACGGCACCTCGGAAATATCTGCTTGAACGCCCCCGCCACATGCCCCACCACCCGGTCACCCCAGGCCCCCACCTGCAACCTTTCCTGCCTCAGCTTCTCCGCCTCCTCCGCCACCCATGCAGCCACCATGGCCCCCTCTGAAGCCGTGTGCAGCCCCAGCCTGCCCGCCACCGCTGCCAGGTGACGAGCCGCGTCCAGCCCCGCGCCGGGCAGCTGAGACACGCCGGAGGAAGCGACCTTGGCTTCTAGCAGGGCAGCTGTGGTGCGGAATGGGGTGCGGATGGGAGGAGGACGCATGGGAGGAGGAGGGTGTACATAGGAAAGCGGTTAGGAGTGCGGCGTGTAGGAAGCGGGGGAGGAGACGTGGTTGTAAGCATTTTGGGTGGGTGGGTGGGAGGGCGGGAGCAAGGGGTGGTTCCGTGTGTAAACCCTGACCAGCCTAACACAGCAGGTTGGAGGAGTGCGGTTGGGACAAGTGCAGGACGAGCCCAACATGTGCCTTACTCTGGCGCCGGTACTCGTCCGCTTGGCGACGATTGTTGGCTATTACGGCTTCCATAGAGGACATCACCTGCGGTGAAGGGGCACAGAAGCCTGGCAGGCGTCCATTATGTTGGGCAAGGGTATGGTACCGGCAGGTGCCCGTACTTCTCCTACAGCCCATAAATCAACAGCCCAGTTCACTGAACCACCTTGTGCACCATAACAGTTGTATGTACTCAGGCGAGGGTGCCCACTGCCTACTAAGCGACTTGCCACCTGCTTATGCTCTTCTATAAGAGCTTGCAGCTCATCCAGCTCGGCGCTAGTGGTGACATGGAAGCGGGAGAAAAGCTCGGTCCCAAGCCCAGGCCTGCGTGATGGGCAGCCAGCGACGTTCGTGGGCCCAGCTGTAGTACCCATATGTTGCAAAGCATACGAGATTGCCTTCATAGCGCGCGCCACAGCAATACAAGGCGTGGATGGTTATCCGTTGGGCTACGTTCACATCCCAGGGAGGAAACATCCCTAGCCTATGTACGGCTTCATAGCAGCGAATAATCCCTGGTTGTCAATACCGATAACGTATGTAGTCACACATACCTTATGGCGTCCGCCTCGGCCTGCAGCTGCTGCTTGCGGAGGTAGTCCATTTAGCTTATTGGGTAGAACTTTGCTCAAGAGTCTTCACCACCCATGTTTAAGGAACAATGAATCAGTACAAAGATGTATAAACGACGATTATGAGTTTTTCACCTTATGGTCCTAACACAGGTAAGAGTTTCCCGCTTTTTCCTTGCCTACTGTAGAAGTGCAGAGCAAGAAGCGCTATATCCTTTGATACAATGTTTATTAACGTATAAGCAGAATGTGGCATTGAGAACAGTTGGATTCGGGCAGGTTGTGCAACTATCACCGATTGGAACCTATGGATCCATTTCATGCATATCACGAGGGAAGTTGTGCGCCTTTGTGTGGTCGCGTACAAATCCTAGCCGCCGTGGTTTTTTAAGCGTTGGAGAAATAGTGGCTACGCTGTATGCTTTGTGTCCCTTGCTACTCTGGATGTACCGAGGGTCCTCACCACAGACAGGGCTGGCCTGAAGGTCTGTGTGACTCACTGGGGAAGGCCATCGTTTGCAAGTTGTGGAGACTGTAGCCAATTGACTTCATGTGGGCGTGCATTGGCCGTGGCCGTGGTCGGCTTGCCAATGGGCTGCCAATGTCGTGTGTTTCCTGACTACTTGCTTGCCACGCTTCTCTATACTTAACGCTATCGTTTATACAACAATTGACGGACGTATGGACGCCTCTCACCTCGGCAAACACCGTAGTACAGCTCAACCGTAAGTTCTCGTAAGGGCGTAAGCGCGTAACCTACAAGCCGTACAAGGGGTTGACGCAGCTCCGCTGTCTGACCCGTCACGCCAAGTTAACATATAGCTAAACGTCTATGGCTGAGGAAAGCTCGAAGGAAGCGGCTAAAGTTATCCTTCGCGCAACGACTAAGGCGACAGGCAACAAGCTCGTGCAATCTCGTGCAACGCATTCACACTTAGTAAAAAGCTAGTATACATAATACTTTTCAAAGTGTACAAGCGCATAATTCCATCCGCCATATAGTTACCATGCGTCAACCATCTAGTACGCGACGCAAGCAAGGGGCTCTCATTGAGTGGCAAGATGTCAACTTCACTGTTCTTGACCGGGCAACCGGACAGCAAAAGCGAATCCTCTCGGATATGACCGGCTTGGCACAGCCAGGACGACTGCTGAGCATTATGGGTCCATCAGGCGCTGGGAAATCGACGCTGGTAAGGCGGCGCTTTACTTCCATAAAGTGTATTTATAAATGATTGTCTTGACGGAAAGCTTTACTGTCCCAAAGGTATTTCACCTTGTTCCCATTTGCCCAATTGAGCGCGCACATATCAGTTTGCATGCCAGCCATGCAGCAACCACACATACAATAGTACCGCGTAACTTCGCATTATTGATCCCGCAAGCGGCACCGGCAATCTCAGCCCGCTCCTCACATTTGCATGTCACAAGCGACCCTCGGTTCATTTAGGCTTGATGGCCAACTCGGGCCCCAATCCATCCTACGTCAGGCATTCCACTGCCCTCGCCTGTCCAATCAAACCCCAGAATCCATACCACCACTCATCCCACTTCCCTACTTGCGCTGTCCAGTCTCCCTCCCCGCCTTCAACATCCCACCCACCCTTCCTCTCATTTCCCCTTCCCCGCTCCTTCCCTCATCCCGAACCCTCCATCTCCCCGCCTCACTCCGCCATTGTCACTCACCTCACCTCAGCTGGACGTGCTCGCATGCAACCTCGCCGCCAGCCGCGGCTGCTCCACAGAGGGACGCATCCTGGTGGATGGTGACCAACGGGACACCCGCGCCTTCCGCCGCATTAGCTGCTACGTACAGCAGAAGGACGTACTGCTTTCCAGCGCAACGGTAACATGGGGCAATGGGATGGGCCAGTAGCGGGTATATCGTGCACGCAACCAAAGCAACCCTGAGATGCGACACGCAAGGCAAACATGTACGGCTTGTTCACAGGTATTCATTTTGCTGCCCTGCTTGCCGTACAGGTACGGGAGGTGGTGCTGACGTCAGCGCTGCTGAAGCTGCCTCGTACGGTGTCCCTGGAGACCAAGCGGGAGCTTGTTGAAGCAACACTGAAGGAGCTGGTGAGGAGAGGGGAGCGAGAGGGAGCGGGGCAGGGGCGGAGGCATGGTTTGTTTTACCCTATACTACTACTAACAACAACAGCCCACGGGCTGGCTGGCTGCCCGCATGAGGCATGACCCTACGGAGGGTTGGGAAACTGGTTAACCTGCCTGCCTGCTCGCCGAACCGCCTGCCTGCCTTCCTGCCTGCCTCCCTGCCCGCTTACCCGCCTGCCTGCCCGCCCCCCTGCCCGCCTGCCCACCTGCCCGCAGGACCTGGTCTCCTGCGCCAACACGCTGATTGGCGACGAGACCATCGGGCTCAAGGGCATCAGCGGCGGCCAGAAGCGGCGAGTGAGTGTGGGCATCGAGCTGGTCAAGGTGAGGAGGGGAGGGAGGGGAAGGGAAGGGAGGGGCCAGCTGAGGTGGGGCTGGGGTGCGGGATTACGGAGGGAGGGGCGGTTGGGAGCAGGGTTTGAGGGGGTTTCGCCGGGCTCAAGGCGTGAGAAGTCCGCTCGGGGGGGGGTGAGGGCGACAACCGAGGGAGGCGAGGTTACAGGTTTTGGGCAGGTAGACGTAGGGCCGAACTCAAGAAACTGACTCTCTCTCAGACCTCTTTGCCTATCCATCCCTCTTCCTTCTCTCTTCCCTCTCTCCCCCCTCCCACTGCATGAGTCGGGATATGGGATTGGGACTCGTTGTTTCACTTATTTAATTTTTCCTCCCACCCGCTCCCTGCCAGGACCCCCGGGTGTTGTTCCTGGACGAGCCCAGCAGCGGCCTGGACAGCGAGATGGCGCTCAGCGTGATGACATCACTCGTACGGCTGGCGCGCAAGGGCCGTACAGTGGTGGGTACGGGTCGTACGGCTGGAAGGAGGGAGGTGCCGGTAGGGGACGCGAGAGAGGACAAAGGCCGCATGGGATGCCCTCAGGAATGGTCTTTGACCTCCCTCCCCATGTTCCCCTACCCCCCCCCCCTCCCCCAAACAGGTGTGCACCATCCACCAGCCCAACTCCGACATCACCGACTGCTTCGATGACTTCCTGCTGCTGGCGGGCGGCAGGACGGTGTACGGCGGCCTGTGGACGGGCGCGGTGGACTTCTTCGCACGCAACGGGTTCAGGTGGGGGGAAAAGGAGAACGTCCAATGTGTCTATGGGTGGCCCGAATCCCCCTGTTCATCCCTGTCCCAACCCTTGATCCTTTCTACCTTCCTTCTCTCCAACCCTGCTCCAAACCCTGCTCCAAACCCGCATCCTGCCCTTTCCCAATCCTCAGCTGCCCCTCCTTCAAGAACCCCACCGACTATTTCATGGCGATCGTCACCCGCGAGGAGGCGGCGGTGGAAACCCTGGCGGACGCGTACACCAAGGCGCGAGGGGCGCTGCTGGGGGAGATGGTGGCGGCAGGGCGGTGCAAGGGGGGAGCGCAGGGGCAGCAGGGGCAGGGGGCGGAGGTGGAGGGTCAGGAAGGAGGGGACCATGTTGCTTTGGAGGTGGGTGCGGAAGTGCGGAAGCCGGAGCAGCAGCAGGAGATGTGGGTTGTGCCCGTGAATCGTGCGGCGGCTGAGGAAGGGGAGGCGGAGGCGGAGGTGGAGCCCGAGGGGGTGCCCGTTTGGTTCCAGGTGAGGGGGCGTCTTTGCCGTACGTTTTTCCTTGCCGGTCATGTTTTGTAATGCTTTCCATTGCCTGTCTATGTCTTCCTTGGTAGCTGCATTAAGCACGTGTGTCACCTGGTGCATGTGCTTGCTGTCATTGCTGCTGTCCCCCAGCCGCCCCGCTGCCTCCTCCACGCGCTATCACACAGTCAGTCAGTTGTTTCCTCTTTCCCCCTTCCGCTTATTATAATTCTTTCCCTTTACCCTCCCCTCTTCACCTCACCCCCCCCCCCCACCTGCCGTCAGGTCGCGGTGCTTTCGGGCCGCTACTGGCGCACTTGGATTCGCAACCCCGTCATGATGGCCAGCGAGCTGGTGCAGTACATCTTCACTGCCGTATTCGTGGGCCTAATGTACTACAGGTGAGCGTGTACGGTATACGGGGTGACAACGAAGAGCTTGGGGAGTTGATGAAAAGTACAAAATGTGACCTTCGGCTGTCGGCTTCATAGCTGTGGCTGTTGGCTGTGTATGTAGCTGTGGACACGGACGTGTCTGCATGGAAGCAAGTTTGTTTTTCAAACCCGACACCTGAGATCACTCGACCCGGGCCAAGTGTGTGATCACATGGGGCACCTTGATGGGTCTATATATTCACATTGAGGGCTTTTTGACGTGCTTCGGCACAACTGTTAAAATTGGAAAAATACAGAGAAGATTAGCATGGCCCCTGCGCAAGGATGACACGCACAAATCGAGAAATGGTTCCAAATTTTTTTGCCGTTTCTAGGTCTGCGGTTCGAGCCCACGGGGCCACCGGCAGTGCGTTTCTAATTGCCCTCACGACTCCTCGGGGGAGGGCCCACAACGATTGCCTTATGACGTGACGCACCTCTCTCCCTCCCTCTGACCTTTGTACGACATATTCGGATACTACACCGCGCCACAACACTCCTTCGAAACGCCGTACACACAGGCTCAACGACGTTCTGGGCGAGGGCGACTTCAACCGCGCCGCATGCATCTGGTTCTCCTTTGCCGTGCTGTGCTTCACACCCTCCTACACTGCAAGTAAGAGATATGGGCTTCGCTTGTAGTACCGGTAGTACCGGTAGTACCTAGTAGCTAGCTAGTAATTCGCCTGTACGCCCGCAACGACAGGCCGTTCTTGCAAGTCCTGCTGCTTCCGTTACTCAGCTCCTATAGTGATTTCCGTTGACTGATAACCGAAACCCGAAACCCAAACCCGGCATCCAAACCCGCACACCGAACCTCCACAGTCACCAACTGGGCTGCCGAGCGGCTGCTCCTCAAACGCGAGCTGGGCCAACGACTGTACGGCATGACCGCCTATTATCTGGCGCGCTACAGCGTGCTGCTGCCCTTCGAAATAGCGCAGTGCCTGCTGTTCCTGGCCATCATGTACTTCTTCGCGGGGTTCCAGGTACGGTAAGGGGCAACAGGAACAGCTCCGTACGTACGGCAAAAAGGATGGATGCCGGTACCGAGGAGTGACTGCTGTTCCGGGCGCACACTCAAAATGCACCCTTTTTGTGGGGTTCCGGACAGGGACGGTGGTATTGTACGGCGAAACGGGTATGCATGGGTACGGCATGAGGGCTGGAATTGGGACACAACCCTAAACACTTTGTGCTCCGGCATCCATTCTGCTTTCCCATTGTCTTCCAACCCGCCATGCCGCCTCCCTGCCTCTTGCTGTCCTCTGTTCCCCCCCCCCCCCACAGGCCTCAGCGTCCGGCTTCTTCACCTTTTTCGCCGTCCTCAGCATGTTCCAGATCATCTCCGAGGGCCTGGGCGCCTGCTGCGCTGTGGCCACCAAGACCCCCACCTCGGGCGTCATCCTGCTCACCTTTTTGCTGCTGTTCCTGCTCGCGTTCTCCGGCTTCCTGACTGTTAAGGTAGGAAAGGGGATGTAGATGGAAGCATGGGATGGGCATGCAGCAGAGGGTGCAAAGTTGGGTTCCACATCATGCTCATGTGTAAACCTCTGTTCCTGCTCGCATTCTCCTACCTCGGGCTTCCTTTCTACTACCGATAATCCGACGGTCCTTTTGCCGGGTTGTCCTGCTGCTGCCGTCCTTTTCAATTATTGCTACCGGTGTTCTTTGCGTCGGTTGGTCTCTTAACGGCTCGTGTTCTTAAGCATGCGAACGTCCATCACCGCACACGCACTGCGCATTTCTGCCACACCTTATCTCGCCCGCCCCGTTCCCTCGCCCCCTCGCCCCCTCCCTCACACCGCGTACACACGCGCGCAGATCCCCATCTACTTTGTGTGGGTGCAAAAGACCTCCTACCTTACTTACGCCTACTCCGCCCTGGTGGAACGAGAGTTTTCGCACATCACCTTCCGCGACAAGGACACGGGGGAGGTCGTACCCGGCATGGATGCGTTTCCGGAGTCGCTGAAGACAGGCCTCACGTACGCCCAGAACGTGGGCGTGTTGGCGGCGCAGCTGTTGGGTATGGAGTTCATAAAGCTCGGCACGTTCCACTTTGCGTACCGCTTTAACATGATGTGAAGGGTTTTAACTACCGTACTGGGAACGGTTGATTTTGGATAGTTGAAGGGATAAGGGGTTTGAGTGCATGGCAGGCCGTGATGGAAGAATGCCATGTGAACAAGCAAGACTCTCCAAATTTTCGTTGGAGGTAGAAGAATTCTGCAGCTGAAGTTCACCTTTTTTGCTGAGTTTGTCTCTCTACGTTGCTGGTCAATCCTGCGTGAGCGTGTGTGTGTTTCAAAGCATGAACTGGATGTCCTGGCCTGATGACGGCTCTGCACAGCCGTACCTACGGAAACTTTGCTACAGCTAATTTCTTACTTGCATTTTTCTTCGTGCATCTATAATGGGGATATACAACGTTCATGTCGTACGTACGGAAGCTGTACGGGCCCGGATGCTGTAAAGACTAACCGTTGATACCGTGCAGGGCAACGTTTGATGAGGCCTGTCCATGTCAAACCCTAACATGAAATTACTAACGACGTCTGGAATTGCATGCATGCATGTGCTGCGTGTGCATGAAAATGGCTTGGGCGGGGGGTATGTATGGCGCGGGAGTGGTCGGTTAGGCACCCATCGTAGAGTTGCTCTTGCTGCTGTTCTGTTTTGCATTGTTTGGTTGCATGTGTGGTGCGCTCGTCATTCGTCGCTGTCCCCCTGCCGGCAGGGTTTTCCACTAATTCGCTTACCGGCGGTATCAACTCTCTCGAGGGAGGCCATCCCTGAAGCTATCATTGCTTTTGGCGTGCCAGGCGTGTGGTGGTGCTGCTGCTGTTGGGACTTGGGTCGATGGATCGACGGAGGTTGCAAGCAGAAGGAAGCAGCTGTTGTGTGTATATGCATGTGTTATGTTGGCTGATGACATTAAGAGGTAAATAAATGGGTGGGGAGGATGAGCAGGCATGCAAACCACCAGGACGGCAATCATGTAAATTCGTGTGGGTGGACGTTCTCCTGCCTAATCATGGCATGCCATTATGGGTTGCAGGGTCTGGAATGCGGACTTGGTGGGTTCTAGACAATAACAGATCTGTAAGGACAGATCTGTCCTTAACCCCCCTGCTCGTACGGACACACGGTACGCGCCTACATGTATACAGACTGCATCCAACGGAAAGAAACGGTAGATGCACTTCTGGAATGTGCGCTTCTGAAATGAGGGTTTCAATTGCTTCACGCTTCGGGGCAAAGGGCTTGGTGCACAACCATCCTCCCAATTACCGTATATATATGTTTTATTCATCCGTTTTGACGTGCTTCGGCACAACTGTTAAAATTGGAAAAATACAGAGAAGATTAGCATGGCCCCTGCGCAAGGATGACACGCACAAATCGAGAAATGGTTCTATATTTTTTTTTCTAAGTCTGCGGTTCGAGCCCAGCGGTTCATGCTACCCTCAAATGTTCCGTTCCGTCATACATAGGTTGATGTTGTCGTTTGCTAAATATGACTGTGCCGGGTTCAGGTCCACACCGTCTGTTCAACATTCTCACCTGGGGTGCAGAAAAGTAGGCTGCAGCTGCTCTCCTCACAAGAGAATGGCGCACAGGATTATGCTAAGGCTGCAAACGTGCCCTGGGTTGCTAGCACAGGAGAGCGCCCGCGCATACTGCAAACCACTAATAAACACCAATCAGGCACAACAGGCACATGTTGTACAAAGCAAAAGCGGCTGGAAGCGTTGGGAGTTGGATAGCTGGCTGCTGTACACATTATATTGGTACACGTACGGGTTACCGCACGTCCATGTAGCCGCGTCGCATCGGCTCTTGAAGTAATGCCACCGTAACCGTCGGTGCAGGTTGCTATATACTAAGAATCATCGCAAAGAGTGCCCCTGTACCCATGTGTCGGACATGTCAGATTATGTGGGCTTCGTACGGTATCTGGATGGACTGTGGCGAGTAGTTGGAGATCAGAACCCGGATGATGAGAACACCACATGAGGTTGATAACGAGGTAGGGGACGGGATCTCATGGGGCGAAGCTGGTCTAACGTTACAAGCAATAGTATTACATGCTCCCCTGCTGCGGGTATGTTACCATCCACAACTGGCGACGACCTTCCACGCATAACAGTTAAGATAATAAGCAGCCACAGGACCATGCAACAAATCGTCACGGCCCTAGGAAACCTGGATCGCTTGTACAACATGGATCGCTTGATAGCAATTGCACAACATGGACGTATGCACAATGTAGGGTAGCAAGATCGCGGGGCCCGTAACCAACGAGCCCTACGCCATGAACCATGGGTCACTCATGCACGTTTCCTTAACACCACCACAACAACATCCCTGCACATGTACTTGACACGCTCATGACATTTCACACACAAATCACAAGCACCTCTGTTCACAAGCGACAGAGCACGCAATGGCGGCAACATATACATAGCCATGCAAGACCTATGGTTCCTAGAAACATTTGCTGGGTATTTTAACGCTTTCAAATTGTTCACATACTGGATACTGGGTAAAAAAGAGGCCTAACACTATATGCATGCATGCACAAAGGGTCTTCGCCGCAAGGGCACGTGTACACTTGCAAGGGCACGTGTACACTTGCTTAAGGCTCATACCATACATATACGGCACCATATCATGTGATACGTGCGACACCATTACCACGTACCCAAGCAAGAGCGTCCCAACACGCATTACGCGAGGGCGTAGGGGTTATCAAACCACTTGGCCACATCGGTATTCAAGATCTCGGGCGGCACGGGTACGGCACGGCTCTCCACTTCGGCCAGGAAGGCAGGCCCCTTCGCTTCGGCGACAGCAGCAGCAGCGGTGCTGAGGCGGCGGCGCTGGCTGCGGGAAGTGCTGCTGGCGGCGGTGGCGGCGATCTGGGACCTGAACTGGGAAACCTCGTTGCTCAGATCCTGGGGAGCAGCGGCATTCGGAAGCAAGTGCGTGCGTGGAACACGTGAGGTCAATCACAGGATTCAGGCAGGCATGTACATGCCTTGGAACAAGGAAAGGTTGCATGTTATTTCAGGCTCCTGCCGTACACATACCTGATACGGCAAGCAGCGCTTGTACTGGAAGCGCTGGATGTTCTCATACAACTTGTCGTACTTGCACTTGATAGCGTCAGCCCAGTTAGCAACGTCACCCTCGGGGTGCAGCACCTGCGGAAAGAAGATCCGGGCATGAGTTCCACGCTTGAGGTGCGCATGGATGCGTAGTAATCATGCTTGTCTTGCAAGCCGCTGGTTACGCACTGGCAGCACCCGAAGCACACCCCTCCTAGAATGTCCGTACCTCACGTACGTTTCACATAAGCCGTTAAGCCCGCACTGCCGTCTACATACATCGTACACACACGCATCGTGCCGTACCTTCCAGGGGTTGGTGCACGACTCGCCCTTGCACACAGCCAGCACGGTCAGGAGGCCCTCCAGACGGGACTGTACGGCAGCATACTTGGGGTTGCCGTATACATTGTTGAGCTCGCCGGGGTCCAAGCGCAGGTCGTACAGCTCGCGCTCGTCTGCAGTACAAAGCAAGCAATGCAAAATGGGGAATTACGGGCAGGTGCAGCGGGCGGGTTATTGCTACACACTACTTACTGGTGCAGGAGGCAATGAGCTTCCAGCCCTGGCGCGCGCGCTCGTCCCACACGCGTACGACCTTCCAGGTGTTGTTCTTGTACGGCTGCAGGTGGTGCAGAACCTCATCCGACCAACCGCCCCAGAACTCGCCCTGGAACCTGAGAAGGAAAAGGAAAGAAGGGGGGAAAGGCAGGTAAGAAAGGAAGGGGGTGAAGCCATATAGAATGAAGGGACGGGGAAGAAGGATGTCATTGAGACGTGGTTGGGTAGATTGAGACTTGCTGCACGACTCACGAGTGTCATGCTCCAACGGGGAAACGTGCTAAACCGTGACATGTGGTGAACCTAAATGTTGAATGCCGAGGTTGCCAAGTATGAGAGGCTATACAGGTACCATGTACTCACTGGTTGCGGTGGTTCAGAGGCCGAGGGTAGTCAGCACGCAGGCTGCCGTCGTCGTTGACTCCCTGCAGGCATGGATGCGGGGCGACAGGGTTAGTTATTACGGTAGGCACATGCGATGAGGTACCGGTATTACGGAGTGTAAGGCCTACTGCGTGTGTACGGTTATCAGTCACTTACCAGGCCAAGCGGTGTTCCATCCAGCCCCTTGTCTGTCAGCTGGTTTCCAGCGCCGGCGAGGGTCAGGATGGTGGGCGCGAAGTCCACATGCAGGCCAACCTGGGCGGGGGCAGGTACCGGGGTGCGGTGAGGGTGGACATATCTTAGCGTCTAGCGGGCTAAGGACAGGAGAGTGAGGAGAGGGGCGGTTGGCGGTTGCGTGCCTGCCGCATTGACGCGGTGAGCCAATTTGACGACGGTGGAGAAGCACTGAATACGGCATGCATGCGTTGGGTATCCACATCATCCACATACAGCCTCTGCATGCATCCCATACATGTACGTACCTTCTCATTAGCCGGCTTGGCACTCTTGGAAGCGCGGATGCCGGGTCCCCGGATTAGGAAGGGCACACGCAGGTCTTCATCGTAGCCGGTCACCTTGCCCGCACCGAAGCGGTGGGTGCCAACCTGCATTGCATCATGCCCGCAGCAGGAGTACCGGTAAGCGATCAGGGTGGAGAAGCGGTGTGTTGGGCGGTGTGTGGGACAGGCGATTGTCGGGTTTTGGATTGTTTTAAACAGTTATCAGGCGTGTTGGTAGGAAAAAGGAAGTACAGGGTGGTATAACATCAGACAGCACATGCACCGGTAGGGACATTTGCAACCCAGGAAACAATGGCGCTCTATCTATGACTTTAGGAGGACGGGTGGGTGGAGGCCTTACATGGTAGCCGTTGTCAGCAGTGTAGATGATGTAGGTGTTGTCAAGCACGCCGCTGTCGTTCAGCGTCTTGACTGCAAGCAACGAGGAGAGGGGCCGCAAGGGAAAGGGCATCGTGTGCTTTGCGCGCCTGCAGTGACCCATGGGTCGTACACGCCTAAGCCGTAGTAGTGCACTGCTTCACTATATCCTCACCGTCTCACCCCCTACAACTCACCCCCGCTGCTGCCATCCTTTATCCTTAATTCCGCACCCCTATCAGCTGTCGCGCCCCATTCGCTCCCCTTGCTCCCCTTGCTGCTGCCTGACTTCCTTTCCTCCCCGGCACGGTTCACGTGTGGACGTGCGAGGATGGCCCCCATGCATGGCTCCTTGTCATCAGGAGCCCACCCAACCAATCCCAACCCCAACTTACCCACTCGGTCGATCAGCTCGTCCACCGCAGCCAGCGAGCGCAGCCGCAGCCGGTAGACCTCCTCCAGGTAGGTGCGGTTGTTCTGCTGGGCCCTGTGCACCGCATGCATGTACGGCATGTACGGCAGCGAGACAGACAGGAAGGGAGAGAGTGAGTGTGTGAGACCTAAGACGGCTTGTAAACAACGCCACTGTCATTTGTGAATGGCACTTTGACATTCTCCGTACAACTAGGGCTACCAGTGGCAGCTCTTATACTGAAGTACACTTAATGCATCATTGGGCAAATAAGCCGGCAAGCCAAACCCTGCAAGTAAGTAGTAGGTCCTATATACTCACAGCGGCAGTGCGCGGATCCAAGCGGGCTTGTCCGACACGTCCGTCTCAAACAGATTCTTGCGAGCGGTGCCGGAGGGCAGGGCGGCGTCCGAGAAGAGCTCCCAATGGCGAGGGGCGGGGACGGGCGGGTAGAAGAAGGTCTTGGTGCTGGGTTGGGAGGGTGGTGGGGGGGTGGGGTGGTGGGATTGTGGGCGGCAGAGGGGTAAGGGAGGGGACGAATGAGGGAGAGGCAAGGGGAAGGAAGCCGAAAACGGGATGCCAGGAACTTTTATTTGGAATACCGGTGTTGGAAGAAATCTGACGAGGGAGCCAGAGAACGAGGGCGTAGTGTATGGCTTAGCTGAAATCTGAGACACTAGGTCTGAATCATATCTGGGCTGCCGTTATCACTGGGCATGTTATATGGACATGTGATGGCACTACAAAGGGAACAGGCCTGGTTGAGGAGGGGAGGTGCATGGTATGGGATTGTGTGTTGCAAGCATTGGGTAGCATGCACCCCTGGATCCTGGCTCTGTACACGGCCCCACACGCAACCCCCGCCTACCTGTTGCTTGCGGCGTCAAACCAGATCTGTTGGGCAGGCAAAAAGCAAGTGAGGGTGATGAGGAAGCAGAAGCAAGTGAGGGGAAGCTTTCTCAGGCTGTCATGGTTAAAGCTGAGTAGAACACAGGGCGAACGAATATTAGGCAATATGAATACCGGATTCCCCAAGCATCCCAAGCTCCCCATGCCATCCTCTTCCCTCACTACTACGTACCCGGGTGCTGGTGTGTGGGGCTATGGGTGAGATCTGCGCGTAGAAGGGCCGTCCAGACGCCACAGCGGTCTTGATCTGTGCAACGGACTTGTCAGCAATAACGTCCGTGGAGTACTCGCCAGGATAGATTACAGGATCAGCGCCGTTCCTGTACGACAAGAAAATCCGAATCCACTTTCTAATCCATGTGCAGCAGTAGGGTGTATTAGTTCTTTGCTTGGCGAGGGTCATGACTCATGAGGGGGGGATGCACGACAGCATGAGGGTATGCGTTGCACGGACAGTATTAGGCGTTGTCCTGAGTAGGGAACTAGGGATGCCTGCTTATTTACCTGGAGAAGCCTGGGTTGTTGTAGTCGAAGGTGTAGGGCGTTACGAGGGCATCGATGTCTGTCCAGCCAGCAGGCTGCGAGGTGGGAAGGTGGATCAGAGCTTTACGGCATATGGAGAGGGGGATGAGAGATACGGCATAGCAAGGGAGGGAGAAAGAGGTAGCCGGATGCGCCGCCGCACGGGCACGGCAAGTGCAATAGCAGGGCACAGGTAGGGGTGTGCTGCTGGTGCGCACAGCGACTTGCCTTGTTCTTATAGTTGGCAGTGGAGTAGTCGACAAGGAACTTGCCCACCTGTATGTGTAACAACAGGGCAACAGGCAGTAGACAGGCGGTTACAGAACACATTGTTTCAGTCGAACTCAAAGAGTGTTGTCGGACCAGCATTGCCCGCGGAACACGGCAAGCATTGCTGCAAGCGACGCACAGGCTGCAAGCCAGCGGTTGCGCTTACGTAGTAGGTGCCGTATCCGAGCTCTTGCAGCCATACAGGCAGATAGGACTTGTCGATGCCCAGGCTCTTCCACTTCGGGTATCCGCCTGTTAGATGGAACAAGGGCAAGTTCGTCGAAAAGGTAGGACTAAGACGACAGTGAAACTACCAATTTAGCTCGAAAGTGTTCTCGCCGATATATAAATTCCTTTATGAATAGCCTTACAGCACACGCCCGAACGAGAGGCCTTGTCGGGTGCGCCAACAGAAACGGTTAACATCGGCTTACAGTACTAAAACCCACCATGTGGTCCCAGGACATCAGTGAAGTTAGTGTTGTGGCTGAACTGTCCGCGCCAAAGGTTAGTGCGCGAGGGGCAGCAAACTGGCGTCGTGACGAAGTAGTTGTTCAACTCGATGCCGGGGTAGCGAATGTGCTCGTGAAGCTTAGGCATATATCGGGGGTGGGTGGAATTCTGGATGCCATCTTGATCGTCCTGAAATTACATGTGTGAGGGAAATCGCTTCTGTCTTGACACCATCGACAATTAGAGGCCTGTTTGCCCCACTCCGCTTAGGCTCCTCACCGTAAAAATGACCACGAAGTTTGGTGGCTTCTGTGATGCAGCTGCAGCTTCTTGAACTAGTAGTGCTGTTAGGGTGAGAATTACGGCAGCGCCTGTAACGGCGCCCACCGGACTACGCGCCATTGTGGATGTAATCCGTGGTTCCAAGCACAAACGCTTCGGGCAGGTGACACCAACAAAGACGAGGATGCAGTGCAGGCGCTTACAATGCCTATGATGAAGACAAGATGATTAGCCAATTGTGCCGGCTTTTTGATGACGGTTCCGGTTGTACGGCGTTGACCTCCCGGACCTCATGGCCTGACCCTGATGGCCTCTATGTACAGGCCGTATTGCATCAAGTAGTTTGCGGCGCAAACGCGATGCACCTAGCGAACACGTACTATAGGAAAGTCCGTCGACCGGCGTTTGCACAAAGAATGCTGCAAGGTTGCGACCCATTGGCCTGAACACAAGGTGTTTGTAGCCCATTCGGAAACCTTTATGATTGCACATATAGATTTTATGCATCACCCAAGCCCCAGGGTCCTGGTCGGATAAATGATTAAACAAGAACACAACCGGCTCCGAACTCTCTGCCGTGGATTCGGGGCCATCAATAATTGCAGTTGTTTATTCACCCAAACTGGAATGCGGAACAGGGAATCTTGATACAATACTGCCAATGCTTGAAGCGTGGTACTTTCAGCTATAGTTAGTCAGACAATTTGACATTGCGGGACCAGCGTAGCAGAGCTAGCAACTTCCCTCGTAACTAAGCTTGAAATAATAAACCTATATTGTCGTGTGCTACACGTCCAACGCCTTCCCAAGGATAGCTATCTGCAACATTATTATCAATCTTGTACGGATGCGGTAAGCTAGGTTTCTCCCTCATCAAGCGTGAAAGAAAGCGAAGTGCTGCGGCCGAACCACAGTAGCCATTTCCGCTTTGTGTTGTGGTTAGGCTTACCTGTGTCTTGCGGGAGCGTTACTTTGGCTCTCACGGTTACTGAACGTAGTCGCGTAGTGTTCTAGGTGTTCAGATTATTGCAGAAGAGATACCAGTTGTTCCTCATTTAGCAGCAACGAATACAGAATTGCTCTATAGGAAGGCTAGGAAGGAGGTGGCGCGGCACATCGAACTTGGATACAACGGGACGAGTGCTATACTATAGTAAACCATGTCAAAGTCGCAGGTTCGTCTAATTCGCGCATGCACCTGAAGCCAACCTGTGCTGCTGTAACTGTTGGTGCATGTCAATGCTCGAACAGACTTCTTCACCGGCAGTAAGCGCACAAGGGGAGATCCTCTTAGCGAAGTACTTGACGGACTCCATCCGCACAATCGAGCAAGCAATAAAGCGGGCGGGGCCGCCTGCCGCCCCTGCTAGCACCCTTCCCCGGTCTGTGTCAGCGCCGCGTCCAGAAGCCAGGTAAGCCCTTTACGGCCCGGGTCCGCACAGTTTCCCTCTCCCGTTAGCCATCCTCGGAGACCTGTATAACGCCTAGCTTAGATGTCCTCCACCCTGCCCTCCATCGCTGCCTATCCTAGCGAACGCTGCCCTCAAAAAGCCACCCGTCCCAGCCCCATCTTCCCGCCCTGCAAAGCCCCCGACCCTTTTATCCCGTACGCCCACTCCACCGCACCTTTCCTCATCGGTCGCGGCTGCTTTCAGGTATGAGACCCGCCGAGCAGCGACAGAAGTCCTGCTGCCGCGCAAGCTGCCCCCGTCCTACGCCCCCGCCGCCGCTGCAGCCGCGGCAGCCGCCCATGTCACTAGCCGTCACGACGCCCTGCGCACCTCCAGTCCCGGAACCGGTCCTGGGGCTCCTATAACCGCACTGCAAGCACGGTTGCGTCAGTCCAGTGCCTCTCCTCCCGGCGTGTCATCGCCCCCAAACCGAAGTCACGGTGGTGGTGGCGGCGGCGGATCCGGACCGCCGCCAGTGTCATCGTCGTCGGCATCTAAAGCGGCATCCGGTGGCGGCGGCGCGCCGCTGCCGCCGCGAGCTGTTGTTGTACGTACGGCACATGCAAGCGCCACTGCCGTACAACCCAACCCAAATCAACTACACCAGCAATTGCAGCAGCACTACCATCCATCTCACCAACAGCAGCAGCAGCAGCAACAGCAGGCATACCCGCAGCAGCAGCAATCACAGCAGCATGCGACAGCAGCTGCTGCTGCTGGGAGGAGGCCCGGATCCGGGTCAGCAGGAGCTCGAAGTGGGGGTGTCTCGGGTGGCACCGGCGGCGGCGGCGGTGGAGGAGGTGGAGCGTTACGCTCGGCTTCAGCTCCTAGAGCAGAGCAAGACGCCGGTGGCCCACCCAACCACCCTAGTCATCAGCAACATTCGTACAACCAACAGCAGCAGCAACAACGACAACAACACCCGCAAGCGCATTTCCGCAGTTCTGGGCCCGCTTACCCCGGCGGCGGTGGCGGTGGCGGTGTAGGCGGCGGTGGCAACCCCCTCCAGGCACAGAAGTTCAGTTCCCAGCTGCCACCGCCGCCACCGGCGCTGCAAGCCCCACAGCCCCCCAGGAACCTAGCGGCAGCAGCAGCGCTGTCACCCACAGCTGCTGCGGCGGCTGCAGGCGGCGCACGTCTCGGCGGTCTTGGGTTGGCCGGCGGTGGAGTTGGAGTGGGTGGTCTGGCAGCTGCGGGTGCGGATGCTCGGAGCATGGCCTCAGTTCGCCGAGGCGGTGGCGGGGGCGGTGGTGCTCCCTCGGAGGCGGGCAGCCACTCCTCCTGGTGGCGGTGGCGACCCGTGACGGACGCCTCGTACCCGCTGACTGCGGTAGGGAACCGGTTGGCTGCATGGTTGGCTATATAGTCGGTAGTCGGACACTGTTTGCTTATACGGTAGTCGGGCAATGGCTGGGCTATAGTCGGGCATCTTTGGCTTAATTCCGGCATGTCTGGGCTGCAGACGGACATGTTGGGCTACAATCGGGCGTTGTTTGCTGCACCGCACCGGCGCACTTGCTCTCGCTGATGTTATGTCTCATCACATGTCCCTCCGTGTCATGTTGCGTTTCCGTACGGCGTGCCTCAGATCACCGACCGCTACGCCGCCAGCCTGAGCCCCACGGAGCTGGTCAAGTGGAACGACCGGGTGGCCAGGCTGGAGGCGGAGATAACACAGGAGAAGGAGCGCAGGTGCGAGGGGGGGGGGCGGCTGAGGGTGTTTGGGGGGGGTGTCGTGTGTGGGCCCTTGTGGAGAGGTTGTAACGCCGAACGTGTCTTCTTGTACCAGCAGCTGCTAAGAGTATAACACCCGCAGCTCGGTCTGCAGCTTCTGGATGTAAGCCATTACCATACGGCACCTTGCTGTTGCCGCAGCCTGTTTTCACGGTTAAAGGCTACCAAGATACCAACACTGCGTGTAACGGTGTAACAATATTGCTGCTGCAGGAAGCAATTCGAGGAGCAGCTCAAGAAGCTGCAGGTGGATACTTCCTCGGGTGGAGCTGCGGCTGGGGCAGCAGGTGGCGGTGGTGGCGGTGGCGGCAGGATAGCAGCCGGGGTGCGTGTGATTGCGCCCTTTCGCTGAGAACCAAGTAAAGTAATTTCCTCTGGCCCTTACAAAAACTGTTGGACGCTTTGGGAAGACACCGCAACAAGGTGTTCTGGGGCTTCTTGACCCATGGGTCTCTCGGGCTCTTGTTGATGTGGTCTGAGCATCTGAGGTCCCAGCAGGGTTCTGACGGGCCCCAAGTGAGGGGTTCGAAGCTTGAAGTAAGTGTATATGACTTCACACGTGAGCGGCATGTTTGGGAGTGACATGGCAGCTGAATAATGACCCCTGCGCTGTGATACCGGTATGCTATGTGATGATGCATACGGTGAGCCACACCCATCTATAGAAGTATCGCCTGAGCCCGGTACCCGTGATGTCTGGGGATACGTGGCCACATTGCGACATGGGTCTTGAGTGCTGCGCTTGGGTGATCAATACGACCAGCAGCGTGTAGAGGGGATATGCCATGCGTTGTGGTCGCGCGGTTTTCCAGCCAACTGCTTCCGTGCCCGTAAAACTTCTTGAGGCCTGCCCGAGGCCCATCTCTCTAGGCTCGCCTCGAGCCCGAAAGCCGCAGCTGGACAAGCCGAGGAGTGTTGTGTGCGATATGGTCCGTGGGATTGCAGGTCGCCCGGCTGGGGCTGAGTGTTGTAGGTGGTTGCGTGCGAGGCAGTTGTCATGTCATGTCGCTGTGCCTTTGCCTGCCTGGCTGGGATAAAGTGGAGCAGGAAGTGCTCATTCGTTTAACATTTTCGTTTCTGCCATTCGGCAGTGAGGGTGATGCGCAGTGATGGCGATGCGGCTGCGAACTGCGAGGGGGTGGTGCGTTGATGTGAGGTGCCTACCGGGTGTTGTGTAGGTAGGCAAGGTGTGCCTGAGTGGGTTGGGTGTTATGGGGCCGCATGTGAAGGCCGCATGCAATAGCGCGTGATGCGTGGATGGTACTGCAGGGGAATCTGACACTGCAGGCGGTTTCGAGGCGAGAGAACTGAGGGTTCGGATGATGATTGCGGGTGATGAAGGGTAGAGTGACACGGAGGGTTGTGGTGATGTCAACGTACGGTAGACATGTGCAGGCAAAAGGGAGGGTTCCTCCGGTACAGAGGTCTTTCTGCACAGAGGCCTGACAGAAGCTCTGGGAGTGTGGGTTCTTGGGCTGTGGCTCAAGTGTCAAGTCAGCTCCACGTCGGGCTTTTGGAAGACGAGCAGGGAGGCAGGACAAGAAGCGAATGGCGGGCAGGTGTAGGCTAAATGGGCAGGCGTAGGTTCGGTCCGGCCCGGTAGTCTTGTAGGCAGCAGGCTTGTCCCACGCGTCGCCATGTGTGGGTTGTTTCTGTCGCACACACAGACCTGAGAGTAGCAGGTGCTGGGCTCATGTTGCAACAGCCCTGCGGCACTGCAGAGCACTGGCAGAGACCCTTGGCAACCCCCATGGTCGGTACCCTGCGTGCGTGTGTAAAGTGCAGCTTGTCCGGCTCGCAAGGCAGCAACCCTAGCCCTAACCTGCTGAACCCGCAAAACCTAACTAGCCAGAACACTGTAAAGCCCACAGCAGTAAAGCCCATCACGCCCATTTCCTAGGCTGGTTAAGCAGCCGTCTCCGGAACCACGTGCCCACCCCGGTTACAGCTCTCCTAGCCCCAACCCGCTTCGTTCCTCCGCCGCCACCACCACCCCAAATCCAACTGCTGACCATGGCCATGCAATGTACACCCACGCGCGCCCTCCGGGCTCTAACCTGCTTCTTCCTTCTCCTCCCTTTTCCCTTTTCCACACGTCTCCGCCCATCCCTACCGTCCCTCCTCCTCCCTCCTCCCCACCACCTCTCATCCCTAATCCCGCCTGTTTTTACTCCTCGCCCTCCTTACCCTCCTCAAAGCGCACCTCCTTCCCGCCCTAATACTCCATGTCCTCCTCCATTCCCAACCTCGCCCGCTTCCATCCCGCCCCCAGCTCAGCCGGCGCAGCAGCGCTAACCCACGCCCGCTGCACCGCCGCCAGCAGCGGGGGCAGCTGACGCCGAGCCCCCACCCCCGCCGGCCCCGCGCCCGGCCCCCCCGGACCTATGCATGCGGTAACCGCCCCCGCAGCGCCGCCACTGGCTTCCAGCGACCACACGGCTCCCGAGGGCAGGGGGGCTCCACTGAGGCTCTCAGCTGGGACACCTGGGCGCATGGTGGTGGTGGGGGGGAGGAGGTGTGAAGGGGGGGAGAAGGAAAGAGGGGTTCAGCACCGTGCGCGTTTGGACCAAAACGGAGCCTGGAAGATGCATGCTTCTTTTCCCCATCCACTCTTCCACCCCTCCTGCCCCCTCACCATGCGTATGCGACCACAGGGGTGCCGAGCTAGCGAGCGCCATCGCCTCCGACCGCTGCCGCCGCCAGCGCTGCCGCTGAGAGGAGTCGGCGGCAGGGTGCGGCGGCAGCTGGGCGGCGTGGAGCTCGGGGAAGGGAGCGGCGCACCTGGGCAGGCAGGCATGGGCGGCGGCGGCGGCATGGGGCGAAAGAAGAGGGACCGGATCGGATCAGGCAGTAACAAAATGAACAGATTAAGATTCCATGGCATAATGCACCCAACTGGGCACAACCCCACCACCATCATCCCCACCTGAAGCTCCTCCACAGCTCCCGTGACGCTGCATGCGGCGCTCCCAGCTTGCCGGGCGCCGGCGGGCCGCTCTCCAGCAGCTGCTGCTGCAGCCCCAGTCCGCGGTACCGCTCCAGGAGGGCCTCCCGGGTGGCGGGCAGCAGCGCCGTCATGCGGGAGAGCTCCTCCTGGCGGAAGTTCTGAGGGGCGGTGCGGGGAGGTGGGGGCGTGAGGTGAGGGTGGTGAAGTGATGTGAGAACTCAACCAAAACATAACGTCCATAAGCAAGGGCAAGACAATAGGCATCGGTGAGGGTGGTGGCGGTGCGCGCATTCACGCATGCAACACAGCAAGCAAGCACGCACGCCCTCACCTGCGCCAGCGAGGCTGCCGTGATGAGTCCCTTGCACCTCACGCAGTGCACGTGGAAGGGCCCGGGGAAGAGGCCGGCTAGCGTGCGGTGCATGAGAGCCTGGGAGGAGGGAGGGGGAGGTGGCGAAGGTGGGGGAGGTGGAGATGGGGGAGGTGGGGGTGAAGAGGAAGCACCCAACCATGTGGCATGGGTAGGTTGCAGCATGGCTTGTGTCCCTACTCTTGAATGGCATCCCATTACCAACATCCTACCCGCGGCAAGTCTCCCGACTTGGCTGCGTCCTGCACCTCCGCTGCCGTCACCGGCGCCACGGCGGCTCCCGGCACTAGCACCCCCGGTGCAGGAGCTGCAGCTGCTGCTGTCGACCCGGCTGACCCACCGCTCTGCTGCTGCTGCTGCTGGTGTAGAAGAGCCTACATGGAAGGAGGAAGGAGAGGAGGGAGAGCGCTAATCATCTCTTGCGACTTGTCCAATCGCCTCCCTCCACAGAAGTCAGGCACAACCCCACAGCAGGCGGCTCCCGGCTACTTTACACGCCAGCCAACCCGCCCCAACGGCACAGCCAAACAACATACTCAATAGCTCCGTTCCTTGCGAGCACCCCACCATACACGTACGTCCATCACGGGCCGCATAGCACCCACACCTTCACCCACCTGCAGGTGTGAGTTGAGCAGCTTGGGCGCCCGGTGCTGCAGCTGCAGCGAGATGTGGATCAGCGACCGCACCCGCACACCCGCCTCGCTGCCCAGGACCTCCTGCGGGGGGGCAGGTAGGGAGGACAAAGGAGCGGGCGGGCAGGAGCAGGCGTCGAGAAAGAAGAGGCGAAAGAGGTAGGGCCCAGGCGAATGGGTGAGGAGGAGTGGGAAGGTGCATGGGAAGTCTGTCCATTGGGCCCATGGGACATGGAGGTATAACGATGTACAGCGCGCGCGGGCAGTTGACGACGCACCTGAATGGCTGCGTGCAGGCCCAGCGAGGCGCGCGTCTCGGCACTCGACTTGCTGCTCGCCGCATTGGACAGACTCGTCTGGGAGTAGGGCGGGTTGGTAGTAAGATGGGTTGGTTCAGGTTGGTTGGGGTGGGTTTACCGTAGAAAGCTGGCAGCATGTGTAGGGAAAAGTTTCGAGAGAGGTTGCCGGTAGGACATAGCCAAGTAGATTGGTCGCACATGGGGTACGCTGGTTTGTGTCTTCCCGTGCTATCACTGTAAAACCTTAAATATGGGAAACAACATGGGGTACAGTCTGCGCTGCATTAGGCTGCCATGAGCGTATACATCGGTGGCGACACTCACCCCAAGCAAGGCCAGCTGCATCTGCTTCATAAGCTGGTAATCAGGGTAAAGCCGCAGCAGCGGCAGCAGCGCAGTTCCACCACCTCCACCACCTCCTCCTGCTCCCTCCGCAGCTGTTGCCGCGCCATTCCCACCTCCCCCACTTCCTCCTCCTCCTCCTGCTGCACCTCCACCCTCCTGCTTGATCGCATCCCCTGCTGCTCCGGCTCCCGCTCCTCCTGCTGATGGTCCTGCCCCGCTTTGTTCTTCCGCCCAGATTCGTACGGCAGCCATCATGAGGGTGCACACCTCCAACACAAACCACACCATGTGGGCGGCTAGCGCGCGTGTCTCGGGGTTTGAGCTGCACGGCATGGCATGATTGGCGGAGGCAGCGGGTGTGGAGGGTGCAGGGGGTTAGGGGTCGTTAGGAGAGGGAAGACATGCAAGCAGAGACGATAAATGGAACGAACGGATAGCCCCGAGGACAGGAGATGAGAAGGATGCGCAAAAACGACAGCAAAGATGACTGCAAAAAGACCAGCGGTGAGCTCCGCCTCGGGGAAGAGAGAGAGCGAGAGAGAGACAGGCGTCGCTGGGTTGTGCCGTACCACTCACAGCGCTTCGGATTGCTGACTGTACAGCAGCGACAGTGCCTGGCTGTACTGCACTGTACGAGCATGCGCCAGGAGATCTGCGGCCACCAGGGCTGCGTGAGGGTCGGGAAGACGTCGCAGGACTTCCAGCTTGGCCCTGAGTGTGAGGGAGGGGGCGGTGTGTTTGGGGTGTGCACGGGGTTTCGCATGGGTTTCGCATGACAGCATGTGATTCCATGAGGGTGGGGTGCGAAGCGTGGAAACGTGGAGACGTCAGGTGGCATGCATGTCCCATGGTGTGACGGAGGGCAATCCTTAATCACAAGCCGAGGCAGGCGCGGGTCGGGCAGCTCATGAACACATGTCTCCCACCAGACCACGCAAACACAGAAAAGACGAAAGATGGAGTAACCCACAGACGTATAAGAAGCATATTGCTGTTAATACTGTCGTACCTCGTCACGCCAGGTGCTAACGCCCCTCGTACAGCAAACTCCTCATGTCCGTACAACAGCCCATCTAGCTGATCCAGGCAGCGAGCCACGTGGGCGCGTTGCCCCGCTCGCCAGCGACAGCGCAACCGCTCTGCTACATCCCATAGGCTGCCGTACGCGCAGTTTAGGAATCGTTGTTCGTACATGTGTAGATGTAAATTTGCCGTACATGCCGTACATATAGGCGAAGAAATGCCGTGTACGATAGCAGCGCCCAAACGATGTACGGGTGCCAGGTAAGGAAGGAGAAGCCAGGGGAGAAAGGGGGCGAGGAGGCGTTGTCAGGGCAGGAGAACGATGTGGAGCAATGAAAAGAGCCACTCCGGGTAATGTAAGAGCACCAAACCGCATGGCAATCGCACGCTATGGTGATATCAAGTAAACAGTTCCCGCCCAGTTCGCAAAAGGCAGGCACGTCGCTTTCAATACATACTTGGTCGGGGCGTAGTTCACTGACCCACGGTTCACATGCTCTTTCGCAGGCATCCCCGTTTCGGTCCTCTACTTCACGATACCGGTACCCACCTCAGCTTGTGCAGTAGCCCCCACGCCAGCCGCATGGTATCCAAGTTGCACGACACCGCATCCTCAGCCACATCGCCGCCAGCATTGCCGTACACCGCATTGCCGCCATGAGCTAATGTCGTACTGTTACCGGCTCCGAAACCGCCGCTACCGTTACCTCCTTCCGTAGCCACATCCTGAACCGTGTATAACTCCAGAAGCACCCTACCGTCCTCGTCCCAGCCAGCCTCGTCAGCCTCGGCTTCATAGTCGCCGCCGCCACCATTGCCGTACACATTCGCGGCGGCGGCGAACGACTCGTCGCCATTCGGCGCCGCCGCCGCCTCGGCATCAGCCATGTCAGTGTCCTCGTCACCGCCCCCATTGAGGCGACCTCTCCCGCTAGCGGCTGTGCCGTCGCCTTGTCCAGATTGGCGCCTCCGCCTCTGCCGCGGCCTTCCCACTTCCGTAACGAAGCACAAGCAACAGCTGTTCGCCGAGAAACACACAGTAGATGCCAGGACCTGCTGCTGTGGTGACGATGGTGGTGGTGTTTCAATTGCCAGGCCGGCCCCTCCATTGTCGTACGATGGCGTTGTCGTACCCTGCCCAACGACCCCTTGTTGACTGTCGCCAGGCCAAGTCGCATTGCGACCACTGCTCAGATAAGCTGTAGCAGCAGAGTGACTTTCGGGTACGGCATTCACCTTGCGCAGTACGGCAAGGGTTTCGGAATCCATGCACTGCGCCGTACCGCGGAAAGCCACGACGAGCTTCGAACCGTCTGAGGACACGCTGATCGACGTCTCTGCTGCTGCGGAGGAGGACGGCCACGCGGGTTGCTGAAGCAGAGCCCCGGGCGCATGCGAATGCTGGTCCCCATTGTCAGTATCAGTACTCTCGACGCCGAGAGCCATGTGACCTCGGTGCTTGCTAATACGATCGGAAGTCCAATCGCCGTCCCATTGGCTGCTGCTGCTGCCAGCCTCGTCCGACACAGTCGCCTTGCGTTCTAAGAACCAGCGGAAACCTCCACCGGCTGACGCTGTTGACCCCGGGTCGGCTGAAGCACCCCCTTGCCCAGCTGCTTTCTCCGTGTAGCTCAGCACCACCGCTTCTACCTCCGGCTGCATGCGATGGGAAGGTTGCGGGGCGTGGGGGAGAGAAGGCGAACCGGCGTCCATTTGGGTCGTGGTGGTGGCGATGTTGAAGGGCTCCTGCTTGATACGAGGCGCCGGCGGTTGCTGCGGTTGCTGTTGCTGGTGGTTATTAGGGGCGTGGGCGTGGGCTGCTGTCGTTGATGCTGTTGTGGATGGTGATGGTGATGATGCGAGCAGGTAAAGCCGCTTTACGGCGCATGCAGGGACGAGCAGCCGGCACTGCCGTACATCCAGCCCTGGCGGGACGTCCAGCTCGGCCTGAGGGGTGGAGGTTGCGAGAAGGGCGGGTGGGGTAAACGGGGGTAAGGGAAAGGGATGTAGGGTTGGGGCAAACGGGTTTTGTGACGTACGGAAACAGTGCTCCACAGCTGCACATCACCACGCTGTCGCAGCTCACTACACCTACCACCCTACCCGTCCCTGTCCCTGTCTGCTCCGCACCCCCACCTGAGGCTCCAGGGTGGGTAACGGCGCCTCCCTCCGCGACCCTGTGGGTGTCGAGGAGGTAGCGGCGCCCGCTGCAGCAGCTGCCGCTGCTGTGGCGGTTGCCCCCGGCGTTTGCGGCACCGGTTGACCCGACAGTGTTGGATTACCGCGCATGCAGTACAGGACAACACGGGTGGCATGGCTGCCGCTGCCGTTGCCACAGCTACCGCCGTCGGCATTGACGCCGCTACCCCCACCGCCGCCGGCGCTGCTGCCGCCAGCGTTAGTAGCGCCACTGCTGCTGCTGCCATCTTGCAGCACCGCAGCAATCGCCAGGGTACCATCATGCGCCGCGGAGATGGATGCGTACCGCACTGCCACCGACTGCTGCTGCTGCTGCTGCGGATGGGGTCCGGTTCCTGTTGCTGCTGCTGCTACCGCCACTGCGTTAGTTGCTGCCGCTGATGACGGCGACGGCAGCGGAGGAGGCAGGGTTAGGGTTTTGGAGCGGTGCCAGGAAAGGGTGTTGGGCAGCTTGGAGGCGGTGGTCCACAGCAGGGTGAGGGAGCCGTTGGAGGTTAGTACGGCAGCGGTTAGTTGGTGCGGCCGAGCCCAGTGGGGTACCGCCTGGGAGGTGAGGTGGGGTGAGGAAGGAAGAAACGGGGAATACGGAAAAGTGAGGCGTTGTTTTCATGTGCGATGTGCGAAGTCCATCCAGCAAGCAAACGTCCTCTGGGCTCCTCCTACATTAGAGAAGGCTGACGGCGTAACGGGCATTTGCCACGCCAGGTCATGCCACCATGAGACCACCTACCCACCATCAAGCCACCTGAACCTCCCAAAAGCCTAAAACAACTACACCCTAGTCCCGAGGACCCCTCCCCGAAGCCCCCACGCATCCGCTCACCCCAGGTACCAGGGCATCCTCACAAAACAGTGTGTCAAAGTTCTCAAGCGCCTGCTGCTGCTGCTTTGCCGCTCCCTCCTCGCCGCCTCCGCTGCCGCCTCCCCCGCCTGCCGACCCAGCACCCACACCAGCGCCAGACGAGGAGGCGGAGGAGCAAGGCAGCCGCTTCGCTGCCAGCTCTGACGTCCTCCAGGAGCGTCCGCTCGGCGGCTGCCGCAGCCAACAAACGCATGCAAAGGCGGGCAGCTGCTGCTGCTGCTGCTGGGCTAGAGAATTGCCATGGGTGTTGTTGTTGCTAGCGCCGGCAACATCCGCACCGACTGCCCCGTCTTCCAAGGGTTCCGCTTTTACGCCCCGTCCTCGCTGGGCTTCCTGAAGGTGCCCCTCCAAGTTGCCGCTGCCGCCTGCTGCGCCGCCAGCACCGACAAGGCTGCGGTTGCTGCTGCTGGTGCGGATGTTTTTGTTGCTGCTGCTGCTGTTCGCACTGGTGCTGCTGGCGTCGTGGAGCAGCTGACCATGCCAATCGTCGACACAGCGCGGGAAGACAGAGTCGTCTTGGCCCTGCAGGCAGGTAGGAAGGGAGGCGCGAAATGGGAGGAGGAGGAGGAGGTGGTCAGATACACCAATCCCCGACGAGGGCTCAGGTGAGGGCGCGACTCGCAACCAGGCGCTTTTCCTGCCTGGCCTGCAATGTACGGCACATGCTGTACGCATCCTGTAAACGCGTTCGGTCACACTGCCTTATGCAAGCAAGAACTCTGTCGGTTGGATCGCACTCGCTCCGCACCCACATGGCCCATCCCAGCCGTACACCGCCGGCTGCAAGCAACCTGCATGCACCTTCGGAGCCCCTCAGCTGCATGACTTCGATCCGGCGTCCGGACCCCTACGGTGCTATCCCTGCCGATTTGCGTTACCGGTATGTCCGGTCGACTGTGGCCATTACTTTCCGCTAACCCCACCTGCTGCGAAGGCTGCGTCCACACGAATACCCGTCCAGACGCCGTCGCACACAGCAGTGCACGCCTTTGCCCCGGAGGAGACCACTCCATGTGGCTGATGTAATCTCCGGGCCCTTTGATGACAAGGGACATTGGATAACTTGAAAGGAGTGCATCAGGTATGTGGCATAAGTGGCAAGAGGACCTGCATCCGCACCTGTCAAAGGCAGTTTAAATGACGTGCAGTCTTCGGGGTTTGAGGGCTCCATAACCATGATCTGGGCTGTGCTGTTGCCTGGCTCAGGGGTAAGCCCGACAGCGATGAGGTTGCTGACGCTGCACCATGAGGACTGAGTAGGCGACGCTGCCGTGACCGGCAGTCTGAATGAGGTCAATATGCCATAAGGATTCACAGCCGGAGGTGAAGGTGATTCGTCAGCACCAGACGGTGATACCCACTGCATGAGTGGACTGATCGCCATTGGTGCAGGCTGTGACAGAGTCGACGTATTATGACAACCCGATACAAAGCCAGAATCGGGGCAAGGCGTCGTGTGCGCAAAATCGTTAGCCTGCATGACTTTCCTACACACTGCGTTTAACCCTCAAGACGTCCCTTGGCGTTATTTCACCACGAAAGCAAGAAAGAGGAGCATTTTTCTGCTTTTCGTGCGAAATCTGCAGATTTCGAAGGCACGCCTTTAACGTTTCGCCCGCAGGGGACTGGTGTACGACAACAAAACCTGGGGCTCCAGAACCGCTCTGGAAGGGTTGCAGTGAAGGGGGCAGGACCAACCGCGATGCACGCTCTGACATTAGCTGTGAAAGCGTATGAAAGAAGCTATGTAAATAAAGGCTTCTTCGCGTCGGGCGACGTTCAGACTTCTGGGCCGAGCTTCGGACGTGAAAATGTCAAAGCTAAGGCTGCAATGTGCTAGCTTATAGTTACTGGTTATGGACAAAAGCGGTGTAAGCGAAAAGCGTCCGCCGAAAGCGCAAAGGGGCGACGAATTCTAGTTGCCCTCTTAGAGACGTTCTGTGAGCGCGTGAAGCGCTTAGATGCATTAAGCTAGAATTTAACAATTTGAGTGTGTTTCCTTGAAGAGGACGGCGATGGCCTGTCACTTGAGTAGTGCATGCGTTCTGCATTTCCACGCCAAACTCATACTCGCCGCCTGCAATGCTTGCTAACGCGTTGCTAGGATGATAGACAAGCAGAGCGGTGAGCCCAGGTATGCACGTGCGGGCTGCACATGCGCCAAGCAGCTTCACGAACGTGAAGGTCAGCACGTGCCCTGGCAAAACCCGCGAGCGGCAGTGCAAGTCGTGTCACGCCCGATCCCAGCGTCCCCACCTTGCCCAGCAAACATCCATGTCTTCCCTGGCCTGCCAAGTACTGACGCTCATGTGGGCATGCGCCAGCCTGCCCAACCAATACACACAGCATTCCCGCCCTGCCCAAAGCCCATAATAACAGGCATGCAGGCATCCATGCTGTGCGCGCGCGTCCCCATGCGTGCTTGAGCTGCCATGTGCAGGCATCATCGCCCCCCTTTGACCTGCTGCATCCCGCCATCACTGTGGTTATGGTGAATGATGTAGGGGTACGGCTGAAAGCATAGACGTTTGGGCTTTTGGCGCAGCCTGCGTATGAAAATGTTATACCATGAGGTAGGTTTTTAAATTCCCTATCCAATGGTGTTAAGATCGATGACAACACGCAACGATGCCGCTGGGAGTGCCTCACAAGTGCGACATTGATGGTGATGTTGCGGACATGAAAGACATAGATTGCTAAACATGCAAGCGCCATGTGCATCAGAGCGCCATAGCCTGGTTTCTGTGTTCCTTCCCGGTGCATGAAGGGGAGGGGATCTCTCCTACCTCCCCTGTCACCCAGCGGCAAGCATCACCCCGAGGGAGGGGATTCCCCCTCCCCCCTTTACCCCCCCCCTCCCCCTGCCTTTCTTCCCCTTTATCCCCCTGCGTGTGCATCCCAGCGTGTGCATCAAGTGCAAATGTTGGTAGTCCCCCCCCACCAGAGGTGCAGCAAGAAACCGCCAACTGTCTGGTGTAAGCGGGACAAATCCTACATCTACCAGTGTATGCACACTGTATCAACTGCAGTAAGAGAGCAGTTTCTGATCAGTTTCTGCTGTTCTAGGCAACCTGTGCAGCTAACGCTACGATGTTGCGCTTGAACTGTTTGTAGCTGAGCGCCTATTAAGATGCAGCTGCTCAGTCGTTATTGCACATGCACAGTTACACCAGTTACTGGGCAGTTACACCAATTACAGTCATACTGTGAAGAATTGGAACTTTTCTGTGTTTGTCCATTGCATCAAAGGCGGTAATGCGGTAGGCAACAGTGCCTGAGCTGAAGTGACAGGCTAAACCTCATAAGACCGTGTAGTGATGTACGATTACTGCTGTCCTAGACTGTCCTTATTGATAATACAGTAGCTGCTCGTATAGCTGACCTTCTAATCAGTTGCAGCTGCCCCAAAGTCCTTGCACAGTGAACATCTAACACTGCCGAAACCAGCTCAGGCTGTCACGCTACTCTGCTGTAAGACAGGCTGATCACAATCGCTATCGAAATAAGTATTTGGCACGATGGCTTGGAAACTAAATCAGAGGGCGCCGGCGTGGAACCTTGGCTGGCGTATGCAAGATGCAATGCACACGTTCAATGCTACGCCGCAAATACCACGTGAAGCGATGGACGCGCCTGCAAACGTAGAAAAGAATAAAGGTCAGCGCATGACATTTTAGACCATTAAAAAGGCACAGCAACACATACCTACGAAAGGTGCGACTCGCTTGCAGATTAGGACGACGCACATGGGCTTCGCGCGTCCCAGGGCGGACGCGACGCGGCAGCTAGCAAGTGGTGGTGCAGTTAGTGCCATGACCCATAGCACAGTGTTAGATGCCTCTGCTGCAACTTGCACGACAATGGATCACAGAACAGTCATGACATTGATGAATAGAAAACATACGCATACGCCTTCAGCAGGCTACACCTGGTATGAAGCCATGTTGCACAGCCACCATATCGGCCCAGCTGCCGTTCAAGCTGTCAAGCCCGTCGGCGAAGCGTAAAGCGGCTCCATTCTCTATCGTCGCTGCGCGTGGGCTTGCCCTATGATGCACAGAGGCCCTCAATAGAAGGAATACAAGTGACAAGGAAATAAAGTTAACTAGCCAATAGGATAGCCGCTGGAATGATCAGGTGTCGGGCGATCAAGCGTCGTACAACCTCATCCCAGCCGCCCACGGGCTTTGGCGCTGCCATCGATGCAATATCTAGTCCGTGGCTACTTCTTTCCAGGTTTGCAACATGTTGTGACCATGAACTAGGCTGGCGACGGAGGTGCGACATAGATGGCGATGTTGCTCACCTTCCCGATCACGATGTCCAGTAAAATCCACACCTTCCACAAGCAATACGTGTCTGGACATCAGCAAATCGCAATCAATGTCGCACTCGCGTTGTAAGCGAACTCGCAGCACACGACAGCATGACGTGCTCAGCATGATGTGTTGGCCAGCTTTACCAGGCGGCTACACCACAACCGGCTCAAGGGCTAGGTTTACAAGCCAACCGCATGTTGGTGGCTTGAGGTGACGTACGCAGACGTACGCGAGCAAGGAGCACAGATGCCGCATGCCACAGGCAGCTCCATGAACGGGCAGGTCAGCAGGTGGCCTAGCAAGCGGGGGCCCTGACTCTCTCTCCCAGTACGGCTTCCAAACGCGCAGGCATTCTGCCCACACCACAGCGCCCATGAGTGCTGCCTCCCCCTCTCTACCCAACCTCTGGCGTGCATGCATCTCCACCCTGCTGAAGTACGTACACCCGTGCATGCAGCGTTCCCCGCTGTGCCTGACAGCTGGCGCCCATACATACCCCCATGCACGCAGGCAATCAGTGCACCTACCCTGCCGGGGTCGGGAAGGGGTGCAGTGTATCTCGGGATGGTGCATGCTACGGCAGCGCACACACCACCACCCTGTTCACTGGCCCCCGTGCATGCAACGCATTCACCCTGCATCCAGGCATCCCTGCTGAGTGCATCCCCGCCTGTGCCCAAACTGTGAAAGCGCTCATGGATGCAGGCATCACAGTGGTTTCCGAAGACTCGAGCCCATGCGTGCCAGAAGGTGCATGCTGACATCCCCCCTGCCCAAATGCTGTGCGCCTGCATCCTCGTGCGTGCCCAAGCTGCCAAGGGGCTAGCTTTCATTCGTGGAGGAACCTCTATAATTTATAAATACGGGTGTCCATGTGTGGCATCTACGCCTTGCCCGAGCTCAGCACCCTAGCGTGCAAGCGTCCCTTCTCCCCAACTCACAGCGCTCATGCCTGCAGGGCAATCTCCACTTTGCACGCCACCAAGCACGTGTGCAGGCAGGCATCCCCGTCGTGCCCTGCTGTTCGTGCAGGCTACCCAACCCTTCCTTAACGGCCGAAACCCATACATACGTGTAGGCAACTACCGGTACCAAGCACCCATGCGTGCCGGCATGCTCGCACAGTTCAAGGCTTGCCAATAAGATGCTTGCCGCAAACACAAGTTAAGTGCAGCAAGAACAAGCAAAAGACAGCATCGAGTGAACGCATACGTATGCGCGTAAGCAGCAAAGATGTGGCATGCCGAAGGCATCCCATGAATGGGCATATCAACAGGTGCCCTAGCAAGACGGACCCCTGACGCTCTCCCACTACGGCTCCCAAACGCACAGGTATCCTGCCCATACCACAGCGCCCACGCGTGCTGGCTCCCTGCTCTTCCCAACCACTGGCTTGCATGCATCTCCACCTTGTATGGGCTGCAGTATGTACACCCGTGCGTGCAGCCTTCCCCGCTTTGCCTGACAGCTGGGCCCATGTATCGATATGCAGAAATCCCTGCACCCCCATGCACGCAGGCAAGCAAGTATGCGGAGTGCCCCGTCCTGCCAGAGTTATCCTGGCACCCATGCAAGCATGCATCCCTGCCCTGCCAGGTGCTGGTGTTCATGCGGCCCCAACCCACGGTATCAGCGCCCGTGTGCGCACACATCACCGCCCTGCTCACTGGCCCCTGAACACGCAGCATGCGCACCCTTCCTAGACGCCACCGGGACGGTGTCCCCACACTGGTCAACTGCGAATGCGCTGGCATGCAGGCAATCCCACCCTGCCCGAGCTCAGGCGTCACAAGAGTAAGCGGCACGTTCCTGCTCTCCCCTTGCACATGCTGCCACCATTCACATCAACTGCAATCTGTGCCACCCATACATGCACACATCACCGCTGTACCTCACTGCTGGCTCTCACACATGCAGGCATTCCCACACCCATGCACCCCAGCCGGGGCCGGGGAGGGGTGCAGTATATCTCGCCCAGGCGGGGCGGTGTGTGATACAGCTGAAGCGGGATGCAATATGACTCGCCCACCCAGGGCGCTTCGCAGCCATGCAACAAGGCATTTTTAGGCGGAGCCCCCGTCGTGGTGCCCCCGTCGCGAAGTGGCTTCGGGGGGGGGGGGGGGGCGATGCCCACGTCCGTGTGTCTGCCCGTCCGTCCGAGTGTCAGGAACGGCAAAATGAACAAACTAACAAATCTAATTCGCCTTCCTTGCCTGCACATAGTCGGGCTTAGCGCCCTGGTGCCTTTGTTTGACTCATCCATTTACCTTTCACTGTCCTGCTTTTGCAACCACACTAAATTATGCCATGCGTGCCCAGCAGATTTCGCCTTCTCACCCGACCGAAGGGAGGCTTGATAAGGATTGGTTGCTCTAACAAGTTAGACGCCTGCACGGTCTGTTCTCTGTTGGTTGCTTAGGCCGTGCTCCGAAGCCCCTTGGCAGGATTGATGCCGGTCTTCCAAAAGCGACGTCCGCCACACGTCTCAAGACGGACACAGAGAGGGTTGTCTCAAGTTATGGGTACTGGCATTGGTGTTGGAACGGCTCTTGCTGTGCCGCCGCTTGCCTACTACTCTCACTGCATACCTGAGATTTAGGAGGGCACCTTTGAGCTTCTTTCAGTACCTACAGAGAAAACATCTACTAAAGAGGGCATCCTGGTCGCCGGTACGCAGCTCTTAGCCCAGGTGGGGTCCTATCTGTGGATGGGCCGGTCGCGTTCTTTTCTCAGCACAACGAAAGTTGTAGTGTCAAATAGGTTGACTATGGCGCGGTTGGTCCTTTACCACTGGTCGCCTTGGAAGCCACACTTTTTTTCCCTTTATCCTTGGCCAATGTTGCAGAACTCAAGTGCGGTATGGGGTTGGCCTATCCAGCATGCCATAGCGCATCTAGCTTTCCTCTTCAACGTCTTTCGAGGTGCTCCCGACTTGCGTCGCGGGGGCTGGATGCCGCAGTGCGGACCAGTTGTGCAACAGCCGGTGCCTCTTTTCCTGCTGGACGTATACTACTAGCTTCTGAACGCCCTCACCATCCCGTTGTCCGCCCTGTTGCATCAGCAAGCAATGGAACTGGCATTTCTGAGAGCAATCCTCAACAAGCGAGCCCTCAGCAGAGCACGAACGGGCTCGGAGCTGCTGCCACGATAGCCGCAGCCCTGCAAAGCGTTGATGACCGTTCCGCGAGCGTTGTCACGCCGCCTCGCCCAGCACAGCAGGCCCAGCAGCAGCCCATCATTAACCCTGTCCCTGAAGACGTCATTGCGGAATTTGAGCATAAGCTGGAGGCGGACTTGCAGACGGTGGGAGTGACTTTGACGGCTATCCTCGGGGTCATCATCTTCTGGAGAGGTGTATGGTCGCTCTTAGACCACTTCCTGGGCGATTCCGTGGTTGGCGACATTTGTTGCATCATTGTGGGCTTGACAATCGTGCTGTACATTCGATTGTCAGGGATGAAGATTGCGAGCTTCTGGCCCCCTAGCTGAAGGGGTCTGCATGTGCGGATTTTGCGCAGCAGAGGGCTTAGGTTGGGTTGGATCAGGCAAGGTCGGTACACGGTTGGAAGTTTGCGTGTACTCTGCGCTATGTTGGGAATGATAGGGCATTTGGTGTGTCGAGAGGGGTGCTGAGTGAGATTGCTGTGTATTATATCATGGTTGTATTAAATTATTGAGGAAATGCCTCCTTACATGGAAGGGATTACCTCCTAAGTCATGCTGCAGTTTAGCAACCGCAATTGGCTGAGCGCACAAGAAACAGGTATTGAATTAGGCTGTCAGGGGCAACACAGGCTTGCCCTTGAGCCTACTTGCCGTGCATTGACCGCAGGCTGCGTAAACAGCACCTTCATGCGCAGTGATAGTGTGTGAGGGTTCTTGCTTAGGGAAAGACAGTTCACGGAAGAAACTTGAGTTGTGACTTGGGAGAGAGGTAATCCTTTAGTGGTAGGCATGATCTATGTATTGTTCTCATGTTGCATTTCATTGTTTATCTGTAGCTTAGCTGCAATCTGCGGTATAGAATGCCACTTTGCAAGTCAATGACACGTCAAAGCAAAGCAAGGCGGGGGGATAATGTTACATGGCATTGTGACGCCAGCAGGCTGCATGGTCCGCACTGTAAGAGTTGGCGTATCCCGCATGGAGGGGTTGACCAATCTCACTCAAAACTGTCTAATGTGTAAGCCATTAGACGGGGTTGTGGTCCCGTGGTTCAGAATGGCAATCGTTAGCGACCCATGGTTGACTCCTTTGCCACACAGACATCGCGCGCTGTGACGCCCCGAAGGCGACAGGTACAACCACAAACCCACATTGTACGGAGCGCCCATCTCAATGCCTAGGCAATCCGTACATCCTTCATATGCAAGCTGACTGAAGGTCAAAGGCATCCCGGGCAACCTTGAAACAGAGCCCAGGACTATCCGAGCTATCGTGGCTAGTTGACAAGCCACACCCAGCGACCCAGGTCACATGAGCTTAATCAAGTTTGGCAAGCGTTCGCCTTCTGTGCAACCAGTATTGCGCTGGTGTGGGTGGCACTCACTGACACAAACGTACATCCTCCACTGAGGCATATCGCACACCCGGTAAGGCGGTAGCGCGTCAACAGTCAATGTCAGCTCACACTACGTTGGGATGCCAGCGCATGACACGTATGGCGGTGTCACTTGTCACGTGCAAGCATTGCCGGGTCGGCGTTGGCTCGGATCCATGGGTCGTTTTGCACCTCCGACAGCGGTAACCGTTGGCGCGCATCCTTGACGAGCAGCTGCACACGTAAGAGGGCCAAGGAAATGGGTTGTGGAGCCAGAAACATTGACGAAACATTGTATGACGCAGCTACTCGCGTGGATATGATACCTGATGGGCTACTATTCCCCACTAGGCAGCCGTCCAAATGGCTGCGTGCATAACCTCAACGTACAGGCATGGCCGTCGCTCTCCTGGACTTACCTTCCGGATGAAGGCCTTGGCCTCTGCCGACACTTGGGGCTGTTCCGGGAAGCGGAGGTCCAGGCGCACAATCCTGCAACCGGAAGCAGTGTGATCATCAAGCACTAGCACCAGCACTCAAGCTTGCCGCAGCAGGCCACTACGCGCCCGCAACAACTCATTGGGGTACGCAGCCATCGAGCCTGCTATTGGACCCACCTCTTGTACGTGTCCTGGTGGCCGGGCGCCTCAAAGGGCGGCCCGCCGAAGAGGAACTCGTAGGTCAGGACGCCCAGGCTCCAGTTGTCAACGGCGGTGGTGTGCTCCTGGCCCTCCACCATCTCGGGGGGCAGGTAGTCCAGGGTGCCGCACAGCGTCTTGCGCCTGCAGGGGCAATGCATAGCATGTCCGAAGCAGACGTAGGTTTACGACGGCATCGACGTTGGTGTTCTGCAGAAGCAAGGGGCAACGGCTTCTTCCAATGCGTGCCCCCTCCATGACCAGTTGCACGTGCACCATGCTTCTGGCGGAGACCCAAAACCCAAAAGGGATACGCAAGCAGCAAAGCAAGTAAGGGCAGGCGGCTCTTGGGCGGGTTATAAGGGCCTAAGCCTCCGTCATGCACTACACTCGCTAGCACAACACAACGAACCTGTTGCTTGGCGCGTGGACGGACCACCCAAAGTCGCTGATCTTGAGCTCGCCGGTGCCGCCCACCAACAGATTCTCTGGCTTGATATCCCGGTGGATTACGTGATGAGAGTGGCAGTAGTCCAGGGCGCGCGCCAGGGAGAGGATGTACCTGGGCAAGCGTGGTAAGGACGCGGAAGGGTGTCGGTAAACGGTATCCTGGTGGTTTGACGACACTGAAGACGCGGGCAGCTTCCTGACGCGCGCATGGAGGCACATGCCCGAGGCCTAAAACATGGAGCCTCACGTGGCAGCGGTACGCTCGTCAAAGCGGTGCAAGCGGACCAGTTCCTTGTACAGCTCTCCGCGCTCGGCGTACTCAAGGATGAGGTACACCTTCTCCTGTGGGGGTTATGAACACGTCACCGCAAACCCTCTTGGTGTCGAAGTATGAGAGGAATGGAAACTGATGAGTGAGAACCCGCGGATGCTATCGTACAGTGCGCACCTTGTCGTAGAAGTAGCCATACAGGCGCAGGATGTTGGGGTGTCGGAGGTGCGCCTGGATCTCTATCTCGCGGCGGAGCTGGTGCTCTACGTTAGATTGCTGCAGCTGGCTCTTAAAGAGCACCTGCCGGTAAGCGTTGGGGAGAGCGCAGAAAGTTAGAAAGCAAGTCAGAAGCTGCGAGTAAACGGCAAGCAGCCCACCGTACCTTAAGCGCAACAATGTACTGGGTGCGCTTCTCGCGCGCGAGGTACACGTTGCCAAATTTCCCCTTTCCAAGCGGCTTGCCAATGTCGAAATCGTTAATTGTCCATCTGGGCTCTGTTGCCGCACCAGCGCTTGTACCAGCACCCTGTCCGGACTCCTGCCTAGCTGCATGGGTTTCTGCTTTTTCCTCTTGCGGCCGGGCCTTCGCACCAGCACCGCCAGCCAGTTTCCCTCCGGGTTGACCTGCTGGCTTAATTATATTGGTGGTGACCTTTAAAGGCTGCATCCTTTAACCAAGCGATAGAATGCTATCGAGGAAAATGTTTACCAGTTGGGCAGCTGTTTAATGTTAATCGCAAGGGCCTCTGGTCCAAAATATATACGAGTCACGAGTACGTATTCATAAATGGGGACCTTTCAGGTTGCGTTCCTACATGGCCACATCTTGCACCGTATCGCACGGGAATTCCATTTAACGGATTTAAGAGACAGCTCGCCGTACTTCATGCTGTGCATGCCGCGCTAGGACAATGTCATGTCTCAGGTGCTGAGATTCCGACGGTATGCTTTCGGCAGTAAAGCCCTTTGATGGTACTTTCGGATTGTAACCTAGGTCAGTCCGAATTATGTCCAGTTTAGAGGGTGGATGGCTTTGTGCCCCCATCGCCGGCAAGATTAGCTGCATCCCTCACAAGCCGCGTGTTTTTTGTTTGGTACTTGTAGCATAGCAAATCCTGTGAGGGACGCTTTTGCCGTCAAACAGGCCCACGATCAGTACCGCGGTCAGCATGCGGTCTTCAAGGAAAGGGTCCCGTTGTGATATGCAGAACCCAGAGGTTCCTGGGGTTTTGTTCTCTCAGGAAGCCTGGTTGTTATGGCTAAAGTGGACTGCGACATGTCAGGGCGACGTACGACTGCAAGGTGGATCAGGGTACGCCAGGGTGATAACGAGTGAATACCAGCAATGCGCACAGCCAGGATCCATGACCCCTAACCTTTCAACAAACCCGAGCTCCGTGTAACCCGACCCCTAATTTAAATCAGCTGCAACGACCACTCAGGAGTGGCAGGTCCCTGTATGCCAGCCGTATTGGGACTTCGTCGCATCCGTTATGGATCCAACCCGTTGGATCCTCACGTCGACCCCTCCTCCTGGAAAGTTGGGGGCGAAGAAATTGCGAATCGAACGTTGCGTCCATGCGTAGGCCCCGGGTGACTTCCCAGGATATCAGACCCACATGGCACCTATCCCCACAGACCTGAGTTCCCCCCCGGACGACGTATATGCAATACGGTGGGAGCCTTGTCACATGGTTTGTGATTTCCCCCTTTTGTCCCATCAGAGCCTTTGAGCCCTCTGCAAAACTGCAATGCCGTGTCCATGTTACCCGGGCATCAGGCCACTCCCATTCAACAGCACTTTGCACCTTTCAAGGGCATGCTCAAGCTCAGTGGAAAGGTATCCTGTGACCTGGCCATGCAGGCCCATGCCAGGCACTGCCTGCCGAAAGCTCCCTCCGTAACCGAAACCTGGTCGACCTGAACACACCAGACCAAAACGCTCGTCAAAACACACGTGTACTGACGCGTCAGCCATGCAGGTGTGGCTTACCAGGGTGGCGCATGTTAGCATTGGTTTAGGTTATGCGGCTCACTCAGCTCGACCTAAACGGAGCAAACAAGACCAAGTAAACAGTTGGCAAAGGTGCAAACCAGAGACAAAGTCTGCGCTTTCTATGCGAGATTTTGTGGAGCGTACGACACAGGTACAGCCGGGTACAACTGGGTCGCGATGTACTCATAGACGCATTCACCTCCTCATTTCGTCCCGTTATTGTGTTGGATCATCAGGTCAATCACTGGTACCTGGTACGCTTGGCACTTTGAGAGCCCCTATAGGGGCAAGGAATGGAAATGGCAGCCCGTTTCTTAGACCTTGGCAACATTGACTTATGGCGCAGCGAGGAGATGCAGCTCGTTCAGGTGGGCGCCTTGGCGAGCCCAAGCTGTTGCGATGTGGTGTAAGGATACCGGTAGCCGTCGATCACTCGTCTCTAAGTTGGGATCCGTGGACGTGTTGTTGAACATGTTGATGATCCACGGCTGACGCAGTGGGGTTATCGGCCCCTCACAAGACTTTAGCTGGTTGAGATAGTTGCCAAGTCTGGAACATGATTTACATCAGAAGCCGTTTTGCTTGCGCGCTCATGGTGGCCTTCGCCTTGCTGGCCGGTCTGAACCTGTTGGAACGCGGCACCCTCCATGCAGCTAATGATCCCGGCGGACGCTGCACACGATACTGTGGAGGCCCTCGGAGAAGTTGGCGTCCTCCAGTTTAAGGATCTCAACGTAGAGAAGTCTGCGTTCCAGAGAACTTATGCGAACCAGGTGCGCGTTATTGGCGCTCGCTCGCGTGAAACTCTCGTTGCGACCTTTCGTCGGTTCGACCATGGTTTGGAAATGTGTTATATTGGTGTTTTAATGCCATTTGTTGTGCTATGAGGTGATCCTATGCATATAGGGTTACAGGGTAGTCGCATGTTGCTCGTGCGGGTATCCTTGCTTGCCGGCTGTACAAGCTGTGTATGCATCGTCTAGTCGCGGCTACTCGTTTAGTGCTAGTAGCGCTTGAGATCTGAGCTGGCTTTATTCAACTGCTTACTCCACGTGGCAAGGCATCCCGCTTTGCTGTTTGCTTATCGCATGCCAAAACCTCAACCCCCGCACCATCCAATAGATAATTAGATTATGCGTGCTTGCCTGCTGCAAGCATTCCTCGACCCTTTCCACTTCCCACAATCCCGCTGCTCATCCCGCTGCCATGCAGGTCAAGCGGTGTGATGAGCTGGCGCGCAAGCTGCGGTTCTTCAAGGAGCAGGTAGGCGGGTCATGGAGGGCGTGGGGTTGGGTTGAACATGAACCCCCTGCACCTCTAGCCTCTGCTGCTCTTCTGCCCTTCCACGCCCCCCTCTATTCTCATTGCTTTTCCCTAACCTTTGATTTCGGTTTACCTCCTACCCTCCCCCCCCTTCCCTGCAGGTGGAGAAGGCGGGGTTGCCGGTTGCTCCTCGCTCCATCCTGGACGCCGCGGGGGTTACCATGGACGAGCTTGAGGTGGGTTGGGAGGAGTCAGAAGACCCTGAGTGGATAGCTTGGACGAAATGGAAGGAAAGGAGGAGTGGGTTTGGGGAACCAGCCTAAGAAGTAGTGAGGTGCTGAGAGGATGCGAAGTGGTGAGGTGCAGCGCCGAGATGGGAGTCGGGCAGCGAGTAGGTCCCCTTCCCATCCCAAATCCCACCCCAACCTAGTCGAATAGCCCATGCGCGTCTTCCCTTCCTTATCGTCTTCTCCATTGCCCCTCCCCGTTGCCAACAATCCCACAAGCCCCACCAGTTCACCCCATCACCCCACACCTTATCCCCCCCCCGCCTGCATGCCTGCAGGGCCTGTTGGAGCAGCTGGAGCGGGAGCTGGTGGAGATGAACGCCAACCAAGACCGCCTGCAGCGCGCGGCGGCGGAGCTGGCGGAGCTGTCCCTGCTGCTGGACTGCGCGGGTGGGGGGGGGGTCGGGGTGGTGGTGGTGTGTGTGTGTGTGGGGGGGGGTGAGAGTGTAGAAGAAACTGCAAGTTAAGCACTTCAATCCCAAGCCCATGTTGGGGAGTTGGTGGCTTACATCCAGGTCCAGGGTTGCTCACCTGCTTTGCCCTCCCGCCTGCCTCCACCCTCCAACCCCTCCTAAACCCTCCTTCCCTCCAGGCAAGTTCTACGACCCCGCTCGCCGTGCAGCAAGCGGTGCGGGAGCACTGGGGGCGGGAGGAGCGGGCAACGGCAGCTTGCAGGGGGCAGGTGGGGGGGGAGCGGGGTAGAGGGGCGAGGACTTTCCTGTGCTGTTGTTGTTCGTACCGGTGTAGTTGAGGAGGTTGGGGAGGCCTCACAGCGCAATGCTGCCCGACCCATGGGCTCATCCTTGTTCGTTGTTCACCATGTCACCTGTCGCCGGCCTGCTGTGGGATGAGATAGCAACTGAGCCTGCTGCCTTGTGTGTCTTGTTTTGTTCTTCACGGTGTTGGTGCTGGTGTTGTTGGTGTCGGTTCCTGTGCAGGCGGGGGTGCGGGCGGCGGTGCTGCCGACGTGAGCTCTCCGCTGCTGGGAGGCGGAGGGATGATGGGCGGCGGCAGCGGACTGGGGGGCTTGGAGGCGAACACAGGAGCGGTGAGAGCGGGTGGGAGGGGGGAGGGGAGGTTGGGGTGGCGAATAGAGCGATTAGGGAGGTCGGAAAACATGGGGTCTATGGGGGGTCTGAGCTGGGGGCCTAATGCCAGCACAGCTGGGGGTGCTGTAAGGGTAAGGACAACCCTCCCTCTCCCCCCCCTCTCCTCCCTCCCCCCCCTCCGTTGCAGTACGAGCCCAAGGTGGGTCGTCTGGGCTCCATCGCCGGCCTGATCTCTCGGGAGCGGCTGCCGGGGTTCGAGCGGCTGCTGTTCCGCGCCACTCGCGGCAACAACTACTTCCGCTACATGGCGGTGGGCAAGGTGCTGGACCCGGCCAGCGGTGAGAGGAGGAGGAGGGGGGGGATTAGATAAACTGAGCCGCGAGAAACCACTGACCGTGACCATAGGATGACCCGTTGGCGTCCAGCAGAAGATAGCAATGTGGCTTATACGTTGATGGTAAAGTATCCAGGGAATGAAGAGTGTAGGATACTATTAGATACCAGTAGTAAGCGCAGCCCGTAGGTTGGAGTAGCTGGCAGTAACGTCGGTAAATGGAATCGTCGCGTAAATCGTCGCGTAAATCGAGGCAGGGAACGCTACTCCGCACACGGCAAGAGGGGCCGCTCTGGGGCAGAACTACTGTTAGGGTTATGCGCATCGAACGATGGACGGGGCATAGCAGCCTGGGGAAAGCGCCGCACGTGTCAACATCACGTGTCACCAATTGCGCTTCTTCTCACACCCCGCTAACCCGCGTCCGCTAATCCGCTCCTCCTTCGTCTGTACTGCTGCTGCCGTACTGCATGTCACAGGCGAGATGGTTGAGAAGGCGGTGTTTGTGGTGTTCTTCGCGGGGGAGCGGGCGCGGGTCAAGATCGGCAAGGTGAGGTGCTGGGGGGCCCTGGGATGGGAGGACACTGGGCGTTCCGTCGGGGGGAAGAGGGGAGGAGGAGGGGGGGACAGGAGTACCGGGGAGAAGAGGGGAGGAGGAAGGGGGCAGGAGTAGCGGTAATTAGAACATGCTAGCAACCGGTAGCCGGCGTGTAGCGCCAACCGCTGATACCCCCCTCCCTTGTCCTACCAACACTAGCTAATGTGGCACCCTGCCGGGTCTTATCCATATTGCCCTGCCCCAACCTGTGGTTTCCTATGGTATGGTATGGTCTCTGACCTCCCTTGTCCTCTTTTAGACCCCTCCTTCCCCCTCCTCCACCTCCTCTTTTCTCCCAGATCTGTGAGGCGTACGGCGCCAACCGCTACCCGCTGCCCGAGGAGCCCAACCGCCAGCGTGCCATGGCCGCCGAGGTGGGCGGGCGGCTGACGGAGATGCGCACCACGCTGGATGCGGGGGAGCTGCAGCGGAGCAGACTGCTGGCCCGGGTGGCGGCGGGTGAGAGGGGGGGGGGGTGAGGGGGGGGGTTTGGGGGGGGGAGAAATTCCAAAGTGTGGTGTGATAATGGTACCAAGTTAATGGGGGGAGGGGGGGTAGAAGAGGAGGAAACTGACAAGCTGTGTGATAAAGGGGATTCACCATGGATAGTTGTGGCGAGATAGGGAGGGGAGGGAGGTGGTGGAGGCGGGTAGAGGAGATCTCCCGTCCTCCTCAATAACCCTCCGCCGCCCCGCCCCCATCCCGTAACTACTGACCTGACAATGAATGTACTGTACACGCAATCAAAAACATTCCAAGCCAACCCCCAATCCTCACCCCAACACCTCACCCCAACCCCAACATCCCAACCCCCAGACATTGACGCCTGGAGCATGCTTGTTCGCCGTGAGAAGGCAGTGTACCACACCCTGAACAAGTGCAACGTGGACGTGACGCGCAAGGTGCTCGTGGCTGAGGCGTGGGTGCCCGCCTCGGCGCGGGTGAGGGTGGCGGAGGCGCTGAGGGGCGTGGCGGACAGCTCGCAACAGGTGGGGTGGGAGGGAGGGAGAGGGGGGAAGGGGGCAGCAGGGTGTGGGGTTTGTGGTAGGGTGGGAAACGGGAGGGAAAGGGAACACACTGACGTGCCATGTTTTCACATGGTTCATTTGTCTCTACGCATGTGTCTCCCTTGATCCCCCCTCTCATGCACCAAGCCTTCAGTCCCGCTCCGATCACACACCCCGCTGAGCAACCGCTGTATGCTTGTACTCGCGGTTCACATGCCAACCTATCCCAACTGCTTGCTCTTGTTTCCGCTCAACTACACGCACCGCCGAGCAACCGCACCCACCCACCTCCTCATCTCCCTCCTCGCACCCCCACAGATTGGCACCATCCTGCAGCCCCTGGCATCCCACGAGAACCCTCCCACCTACTTCCGCACCTCCAAGTTCACAGCCTGCTTCCAATCCATCGTGGACGCGTACGGCATTGCGCGGTACCGCGAGGTCAACCCCGCGGTGTTCACCATTGCCACCTTCCCCTTCCTGTTTGCGGTCATGTTTGGAGACCTGGGGCACGGGCTGCTGATGAGCATCTTTGCGGCGTGGCTGCTGTGGAATGAGGCCAAGTTTGGGAAGCAACAGGTGAGGTGCAGGGCGAGGAAGGGGGGGGGCGGGTACCGGTGGGAGCGAGAAGGGGAGGGGAGGGGACCGGTGGCTTGAAGAAGAAGGGTGATTTAATAGTGGGAATGGCCGTTTGGGAAGAGGGGAAGACGGGTGCGGTGGGGTCTGGGAGGGCCGGGAGGGTGGGAGGCAGGAGGAGGAGGAGAAGCAGTAGCGTCGTATCTGCATACATGCCCCGCTACCGGTACCTCCCATTACTGCCGCCCCGCTTCCCGCAGCCGCTCCTTACCGTCTCCGTCTTTTCAACTCGCCACTTCACATGGCCCCCCATACACACACGCCATCCCCCCCAAACAACTGCTCCCCCTCCACCCCCACCCCGCAGCTCAACGACATGTTTTCCATGCTGTACAGCGGCCGCTACTGCATCATGCTGATGGGGCTGTTCTCCATCTACATGGGCGCCATGTACAACGAGTTCTTCTCCATGCCAATGACTCTGGCGGGCGACTCGGCGTTCAAGTGGGTGGGGATGTTGGGGTGTGTGCTGGGGTGCCAGGGTTTGCATGGATACCCCTTTCACTGCCGCTTGCTTGCTTGCCTGCCGGCTTGCAAACTCAGGTGTTTCGTCAACGGCACTGCCAGCGCCACCATCGACCGCCGGGACTGCGGGCACCACGGGGGCAAGCTGCTGATGGACGGCAGCCGAGGTGAGCGGGCAGCAGGGGTAGCGCGAATGGCAGTAATGGGAGGAAGGAGCAGGGAGAGGGAACCAAGGAACTAACCTCAGGGGAAAGGGGTCATCGCGGTTTGCAGCAGGGTACACAGACAAGCGCCACATATACATCTCTGTGTTGATCCCAACTGCTTGCTCTTGTTTTACTCAACTATACACCTCTGTGTTGATCTTTTGGATCTCCTCTTGGATCTCCTACACACGCAGGTTCACATGCGAACCTATCCCAACTGCTTGCTCTTGTCCTACTCAACTACACACGCAGGTCCGTACGGCTTTGGTGTGGACCCCATCTGGCACGGCACCAAGACGGAGCTGCCCTTCCTGAACAGCATGAAGATGAAGATGAGCATCCTGCTGGGGGTGGCGCACATGAACCTGGGCATCCTCATGTCGCTGCTGAACAACAACTACTTCAGGTGGGGGCGGGGCGGGTGGGTGGGGGTGATGAGGGTAGGTGGGAGACGGGGTTGGGTGGGACGTGGGGCAGGTGGGAGATGGGGTTGGGTGGGACGTGGGGCTGGGTGCATTCCAGTAGGTCTGGTGGACCAACCGCTGCAGCTGGGCTGTAGGCTGGGCGGTTCTGCGCCTCCCCTGTTACCGTTCCTCGCTGACATCATCGATTACCAATCCTTCATGCACATGCCCTCTCGCCTCCTGACCCCGACCCCCGACCCAACCCCAAGCACCAACACCCTCATCCTCCCTCACCCTCTCCCTCGCCCGGCCTTCCCGGCTCCTCCCGTCCCCTCCCCTCCCTGTATCTTATCCCCCCGCAGGGACCGTCTCTCCACGATTTGCGAGTTCGTGCCGCAGATGATCTTCCTGAACGGCCTCTTCGGCTACCTGTCGTCCCTCATTGTGGGCAAGTGGGTGAGCGGCTCCACGGTGGACCTCTACCACGTCATGATCTACATGTTCCTCACGCCAGGTAGGTGGGGGTGGGTGGGGGGTCCCGGCCCCAACTCCCTCCATCCTGCCACCCTCCACGCCTCCACACCTCCCTCCACTCCTAATGCCTCCATCCATCCATCCATCCTGCCCCCCTGCCTCCATCCTGCCCCCTCCAGGCAACGTGACCGACGGCACGGGCGGCTCCGCCAACGGCAAGCTCTTCGCCGGCCAGGCCGCGCTGCAGAACCTGCTGCTGGTGGCGGCGCTGATCGCGGTGCCCTGGATGCTGCTGCCCAAGCCGCTGGTGCTCAAGAAGCGCGCGGAGGCGGCGGCAAAGGTGCGGGAGGAGGAGGGCAGGAGGATGGTTTGGGCTGGGCTGAGGCGGCGGAGGAGTATGCTGTGTAATAATTTGCATCCTTGTTTTAGCATGTCTGATGCCCTCTCTTGCCAGCGCCCCGCCTTTGGATCCTCTGTCCGCCTCCCCACGTACCCGCCTCCTTGCCATCGGTAACGTACCCTACCCTCATGTTCCCATCACCCTCACCAACACCCCACTCCACCACCGCCGTCCCTCTCCCTCCACCGCTCCTGCAGATTCGCGGCGAGTACCGCCGACTGGAGGCGGACCACGAGGCGGGTGGGGCGGCGGCGGCAGCAGGGCACCACCATGCGGGAGGTCACGGAGGAGGTGGACATGGGGGGCATGGAGAGCACTTTGAGTTTGGGGAGGTCATGGTGCATCAGGTGAGGTTGGGTGTGTGGGTGGTGGCTGGTGGCTGGGTGTGAGGTTCGGGTGGAGTGGGTTTCGGGTGTTTCGTGTGTTGGGGGGCTCGTGTTGCGGCTTTCTGTTTCTCTATCTCCTTGCTGCCTCTCACCCGCGTCCGCCAACCCTCCTCCAACTCTACCCTCCTTCCTCACCACTTATCTTTCCCTCCTTTCTCACCCTTCTCACCCTACCTCAACCCCCCACCCCAGATGATCCACACCATTGAGTTCGTGCTGGGTGCCGTGTCCAACACCGCCTCCTACCTGCGGCTGTGGGCGCTGTCGCTGGCGCACAGCCAGCTGTCGGCCGTGTTCTACGACCGAGTGCTCATGATGACGGTGTCGGTGAGTGTGAGAGAAGGGGGGAGGAGCTTTTTTATTACACTTGAAGTGAACGAGCTGTGGATGCTCATGCACTGTTTGTTGATTACTAACGGCTTGCAGCCTACCGTACCTTCTAACCTCGTCCTAACCCATGCGCTTCCCTTCCCTTCCCCCCTTGTTGCAAACCATGATGCCGACTTATCACACGTTTCGTTTGTCGTTTCCTCTTCACCTCCTCCCACCCCACCCGCAGCTCGCCAGTCCCGCTGCCATGGTGGTGGGCTTCTTCGTGTTCGCAGTCGCCACGCTGGGAGTGCTCATGGTGATGGAGTCGCTGTCCGCCTTCCTGCATGCGCTGCGTTTGCACTGGGTGGAGTACCAGAACAAGTTCTACCGGGGAGATGGCTACGCGTTTGTGCCGTTTGCCTTCTCGCATGCGTCCATCACGGCTGCTGCACACGGGCAGGATGAGTGAGCGGGGCCCGGGTTGGGACGTTGTGCTTGCTTGGGGCGAGGTCTTTTTGGCATGCTGGCTCACAGCGTTCTAACTGGGGCATCTTTTCCTGCTTGGGGTTGAATTGGGAGATGTGTGTGGGCTGGTTGGTTGGTTGGTAGAAACATGCGGTACGAAGAAGCAATGGGTATGTAGGGTTTTCAGGCTTTCTGGGTGGGTATTGTGGTAGTCGCATGGTAGGTCGTGTGAAGCGGATCTGCAAGCAGGGGTCTTGTGAAGCGGACTGTCAAGTCATATGGATTTGGTGTACGGCGTTTGACTGTGGCCTTTAGGGAGTGTATGGCATGTACGGTGTCAAGCAAGTACGACAGGTTTGTTTCCGCATCCGATGTACAATGACATGTGAGTAGAAGTGTTTTTGTGTGCACGCGTGTACGGTATATTACTTAATACAGGATCGTGTCCTTCATAAGGGTGTAGCGACGTAGTTTTGTTATCTGTTTTGGATCTTCTGCCTGTTCCGGCTCAGTCTTTCGTGAGTTGACTGCTCCTGTGAAACAACGGCTGCAGTAACAGCGATAGCAGTTGAGAGGCGGAGGGACGCGCATGCGTGCTGTTGTCTGGGTTAAGAGTTGACTTGCGCGGTGGTTATTTGGTGACACCGATTGGCATAAACGGATTGCAGGTGGTTGGCGATTGGTGAAAGGTTTGTGCGCGATTGACATCCGTAGGTGCCACCAGAGTCCGTCTAGATTGTATTTCTGTTGGCCAGGTTTTCAAGAGTTAGGTAAGGCAAAAGGCATGGTGTAGGTGCAGAGTCCAAGAGTCCCTATCATGATCTACCCATAACGATAGGAGAGCATGGCATGTTGGGCATCATGGCAACTACAACATAAAAAACCGGGCAAATAGCTCTTGATGATTTCTTTCCGAAGGAGTGGGTGCTGTTGCTGGTTATGGCAGTGGGGAACAGCCCGAACAGGTGGTTTGGTTTCTGGCGCTAAGAGGCTTGTGGTGGCCGGAACCACGGGTGTGATGGCAGCATGCGGCTAAAACGACTGGCTAGACGCCGCAAAGGCGGAATCACGGCCGTTTTGGACCCACGGGTCGCATGCACGTGGTGTACACGATGTAACGTAACATGGAAGTCAGGGCTGCTTCCTCCTTAGCCTCAATGGTCTGCACACCTTGTCGGAGCGGTGGGGAGCGCTGCAAGCTGGTGCTGGCGGGTGCTGAAGGATAATGCCACATGAATGCATGCGGGGCCGTTTAGCACCTACTGGGAACGAACTGGTGTTATGGGTTCCACCTGCTGATACCTAAATGGCTGAAAAGGGAGAAGTGTAGCTGGCTTGCGACCTATCCATTGACTCAGTGCGGTACAGAAGGACTCAGATACCAGCCAGGAACCCCAGCAGGGCATGGCCGTCAGGGACGCGTCATATGTCTTACAGTGCTATGTGAGCCCCACATAGTAAAATTTGCAAGCACAAAAGGTTAGCCATGTACGACGAGCAAAGAGGTTAGTTGCTGGACTGTGTACAGCAGCAGCAACTCCGTACAACAACAACCTGATGCCTCCGCCACAGCACAGCGCAAAACGGTTAAGCAGGACACTTACTAAGAGGACATAACGAGATTTGCGACCCCAGAAGTACGATGACGGAAGCTACCCCTGGTAAGCTTGTTCCATTGTGCGATGCATGCCCCCGCACGGAGGGGCTTTCTACCACCACAGACTTCACGACCAATCACCACGAACCCTATGCAACATGCTGCGGCTGTCAATACCTTGCTCTTCCCTGCTTGGTTTCCGCCCTGCCAGGCCCCGCACGGAAACCAAGGCACGCCGTACAAGTCCCCCATTGCGCCCTAATAATGTCGGGTTGCTTAGCATGGCATAACCTAGCAATGCCGCAACCGCCTGCTGCATCACAACCCGACGTACACAGGTTATGCAGGCAGCAGAATGGAACGGAACGGAATACGGTAGGGATGCAGGGAAGGGCCCAACATAGGCACCCTCGGACACTTCACGCCCATCCCACTTACAGCAGCCGCCGGACTGAGGAATAGGGGAATGGCAGGTCCGAGGACCGCACGTACTTATCCTCCCAGCGCACCCTGAAGTTCCCCAGGCGCTTGATCTCCTCGCCCACAGCGGCCTGCGTGGCCTCAACCACCGTTGGCTCGCTGAAGGTTTCCTTGATCCCAGCGATGAAGGCGTCGCCACCCCGCACCATGTTGCACACCCTGGGATGGGGTACATGCGTGGCAATTGGCGGGTTAATATTGTCGCCTTTGGACGCCGACATGCCGTTGCATATGCACGGGCTGAGTTGTGGCCTGGCAGCCTGGCACGACGTAGGGGGTTCCACTTACTCGGAATCCGACCCAAGGTCCAGCCGGTAGACATTAATCCAGGGCCCCGTGTTTGAGGGGCTCGTCAGGAGGAAATATGCGCCGTTTGCAGAATTGAGGACTGGGAAAGCAAGGTCAAGAACATCTCTTGCTGCGCGCACGGCTGTGGTGTTGCGTGCTGCATTAAAGCCCGCAAGCGTGCGGGCCTTTGGGGTAAGGCTTAGCGCACTGCCGCTGTAGGGCGTGATAGCTCGGTCCCCAGATTCAGAGAGCATGTTTCTGCTGCTGTGGATGCGTAGATGACGCTGCTCAAATTTTGTCTAACCACAAAGTCTGGTATTGGAAAACATTTATTGCGCCAATGCCAGACAGACCCACGGGTCAGAAGGGCGTGTCTCGGCCTGCCAAGGTTTCCTTCACGGGTTTGGGGGCACTTCGCATCTCACACAACTCATCGGCCCGTTGCGTCTCGAACACAAAGCATTGCTTGCTCATACGGAGGGCTATTTTCAATAATTTAATCCTTTTTAGGCTGGGTATTCATTTAGGTTCCAAGTGGTTACTTTGGGCCTTCTGGGGAGTTATCTTGGTAACCAGCTAACCACCAAACACCGGTATAAGGGTACCAAAGGCTTGGGAGACAATAACCACGCCCAGCATGATACCTTTTGACGGCTTGGCAAGCAAATGAGGGGTTACATACCTAGCTTTCCATAGGCACAGAACACTAATTCTGCTGCACGTCTTCCCGCTCCTAGAACACCCCAGCCACAGGTTGTAATGCATACACGCGAGCATGTTGTATTGTTGTTACACCAATGTACGGATCCGGTATGTACGGCAGCGAGGGGCTGGGTGGCTCTGTGCCCCCGGTGTCAGGTCGGCAATGTTCCAACAGCACACACGCACCGAAACTACGGTAATGCAAAAGCGAGGCACAGGCTTGCCAGCATGCTGGGCTCGGGCAAAAACACAGTCCCATGGACCATGCAAAAGTGTAGCCATGTACGACGAGCAAAGGGGTTAGTTGCTGGACTGTGTACAGCAGCAGCAATTCCGTACAACAACAACCTGATGCCTCCGCCACAGCACAGCGCAAAAAGGTTAAGCAGGGCACCTACTACACAAACATAACGAGATATGTGACCCCAGATGTATGGTAACGGAAGCTACCACCGGTAAGCTTGTTCCATTGTGCGATGCATGCCCCCGCACGGAGGGGCTTTCTACCACCGCAGACTTCACGACCAATCACCACGAACCCCATGGAACAAGCTGCGGCTCTCAATTCCTTGCTCTTCCCTGTCTGGTTTCTGCCCTGCCACGCACGGCCAAGCCATGCACGGAAACCGAAAAGCGCCGTACAAGGTGTAACTGCCTTATAGCGCCCTAACAATGTCGGGTTGCTTAGCCTGGCATAACCTAGCAATGCCGCAACTGCCAGCTGCATCACAAACCGGACGTACGTACACAGGGTATGCAGGCAGTGGAATGGAACGGAACGGAATAGGGAGTGCAGCACGCAGGGACGCACCTAACACAGATACGTCCGAGCAACCTCACGCCCATCCCACGTGCAGCAGCCGCACCGAGCATGTGGAATAGCCCGGGAACCACACGAGCTTGTCCTCCCAGCCCACCGTGAAGTTGCCCAGGCGCTTAATCTCCTCGCCCACAGCGGCCTGCGTGGCCTCCACCACCGTCTGCACGTCCGCTACGGCACTGCTCTGAACCTTTACGCCCTGCTTCCTGAGGTGGGTTGGGTCACGTTATGCGTCAGGTCACAGCATGAAGGCACGGAGTGGGCAGCCTGTCTACGATGGACGCCTGCACCCTTACCAGATGCTGGTTAGGGTAAAGTATCCATTCCATGTCATCCTGCCTCCCTCTAGGTAGTGAACGTCTATCAACGGCTTGTCCGTTGGAGACGGGCTTGATGACAGGATGAAGTATGCGCCGTTTGCAGAGTGCAGCTGGGAGAACGCCAGGCTAAGGACTTCTTGCGCCGCTTGGGCAGCAGTGGCGCGGCGTGCCTCATCAAACACCTTTCGTGTACAGGCAGTGTAGGTGTCCGTTTTGTAGACGCTGGGTGCTACCGGCACACCAAAACTGAACGCCATCGCGCTACCGGCACAAAGGTTGCAGGTCACCCTGTGAGAAGTCCTTGGCAGAAAGATCGACTGTGTCGTCTGTGTGCGCATGCAACTCAAGCTAAAGAAGTTACCGATAGGCACAGACAGGTCTAAAAGTTACCTCGACAAGTCCCAGGCATGAACCACGGGTCACATCACCACTGACCAACATCAGTGGTGAGTGCTAGCTCACTGCTGGCGTGTGAATGACGCCATCCTGGTTCTTTCGGGCACTTCGCACGGCTTACCAGCGATACAAGTTCACGGGTTACTTGAAACTCGTGAACTTGTCGCATACTTCGAACCCTTGGAGCGAAAGAAGGAAGTTAACATATCAGCCATCGCACCCTAACTCTGCTCTTTTTCTACCGTATGCATGCGCGTGCCTCATCAAGACATCCGTGTTGTCCCTATCATGCATGTCTGTTGCGTACCGCTGTGGACGTCTAAGGATTAACGGTCTTGCGTTCGCTTCGGCGCTAGGCTAGGACCCTACACGTCCCTCCACGACTACCCAACCGGCATGAACGCCACCCAATCTATCTAGGGAGGTCGCAGCAAATGCCAGCGCTAAATCCACAAGGATGAGCGGTGTGAGCCAGCGGCTCAAGAAGCCGTTGCCCTGGTAAAATTCTGCCATGCATTTTGCATGCCGCCCCCCGCATGCTATGGAAGCAGATCACACTGTACTGCAAAGGGCTTGCATGCATGACAGCCCCGGAGTCGAGTGCAGACACTCATATCCAACTACTGCTGGAACGCATGCATGGCTTACTTGGCGACCCCCGTTTCCCTGCAGCGATATTCCCTACTTGGGAGCGCGGAACCGTTTTCACGGCAGGGAGCTCGTGTGTTGGTGCTGATGGCGGCATGGGGGCTGTCGCAAGTTATTATGCGAGTCCTGCGAGTCCCGTAAGTGTATATGTATGTGGCAGTGCTCGTAATCCCAACACATTAGCACGACATGCGGCATGCGGCGAGCCTTCTCCATGGGTTTGCTGGGTTCGTTACGCTTTATTTAGCGTCCCAGGAGTACACAAACAAACCGGTTACCGGTATATCTACAACTTACATACGTTTGCGGCCGTAATGACGCCGTGCAACTGTGTAACAGGTACTAGAAGTAGGGTGCCATGTGCCCATGTCTGTGTGAACAGTCACACGGACAAGGCGCAATACCTGGATGACGGCCTTGCCACAATCGTCCTAGCACAGAAGCCATTGTACTGTGTTGCAACAATGTTACAGACCCAAATTGCAATGACAACGTGCAGCAACAGCCCCCAACAGCCAGTGGTAGCACGGAGGTGTACAATATGAAGAGTAGCAACAGGTTGCTGGACTGGGTACAGCGGCAAGCAATGACAGTATAAAAGTGTAAAGCGACAACCTGCCCCAGCATCACACCGTAAATGCGCCAGTAAGACACGTAAGGCGCGCAAACCCAGGCGTGTCACCCACATGCATGAAGTGAAACCCGCTCTCGGTAACCTGGTTCCAATCTGCCGCGCCCCCCACGGACGGGCTTTCACATCGCGCAGGCATTAGGTTGTATACCA